GTGATCTGGATACAATCACCTATATAGCACATTAACGGTGACTGGCCCAGTTCTAGTTTCGCCGTAGAAGTTGGCACGAAATTGTAAACTGCCCTCTTTACTAAAAGCGCTAAATATCCAAATAGCATTGTACTATAAAATTATCTTCTTCGCCATCTGCTGCTAAACATGGCAATTTGTCCGCTCATCCAAACTCGCATGTTATCAATTTAATTTACGAGTACAGCTCTTCGTTGTGAATTATATTAAACAGTTGTTGAAAAAGATAAAATGTATCTTTCTACTTAACTCTGAATGAGTCACAAGCTTGTCTGCTGTCGTTACAGATTCGTGCGTATTATTGTCCTTTAGCTACTTTAAAATCGTACACAAGGACGCCTAAATTCGCTCGGTAGATATTTCCGGATCGAATGAAAGTGTCTCCGGTGAATCAGACTTTTTTTAAATGTACGACGTAATTCCCTGTCAGTTGCCTAACGTGATCCCAACATTAAAAGTCTGGACATTCTGTGAATTGTTGGCACTCGTCCTTAAGTAAAGTAAAGGTATTTTAATTTAGGTGTAGGTACCTGTTTCATAAACATAGCAAATCGTTTAAAAAAAGTATTCCATGTTAATGACACATTGCAAAAGTTTCCGTGAGTCGATGTAACATTTCAACGTCTAGAAGCGTTAACCGACTTTGTAGACAGACATTTGCCTGCTTGTCATGTGGCTGCTCATAAATCGGCTCGCTAATAGAATAAGTGTCGGTCCGCGGACAGTTTCCGCGAGGTGTCACCACGACTGACGCAATCGGAGCGGTCTGCGGCCCGTCCCGACGCCAAATCGAAAACATATTAAAGCCACCGATCAAAGAGAGCTTTCCCTCGCTCACCAGATTTATGGTATTACTGAAATGTTTTGTAGATCGCGCATTACGTTAAACAAGGATTACGAGACGTCTAAATAAAATGTGCATTAAACCGCTCGTGGTAAACTTATGTGACACTGGCCAGAGATTTGAAAGATCTCGAATGAAAATGTATCGGATCAGGAACGTATCCAAGTCCCAGGATTAAGGACAGCTACTGGCATTTATGATATTATCTTAAGTATAAAATTACCAAACTGTTTTGATATTATTTGCGAGGTCTTAATTTATGGATCTTCTGTATGTAAAATGAACACGACCTATGCAAAACCAATGTTACTAATTTTTTACGGGTCATTCAAACATGTTGATTGATACAATAATGCTTCTTTACAGCACTGTTTTCAACTTGTGAACATATTGGTAAAGGAACATTAAGTCGCTCCAAAAAGAATATTTGTCGTTATTCAGTAAGGGTAAATACCACAACAATTACTTGTTTTAATTATCCGTAGTGTTCCCTAATGAAGTATTCTTAGCTTTTTGCCATCTAATCGATGGAAATGAACTGGATGTGGTCATCAGTCTTCTGATGGAAGTAAAAAAACTTCGAACGACGACCCTAAGAACAGTTCAGTTATTCACATATTCAAGTTTTTTGTTCGCATTGTTTTATTTCGTGTTTTTGACCGCAAACTTTTTTTGGTTAATTTAGATAAATTGTACAGCAATCATAAGCATGACTGTGTTTCCATTACTCAAGAAATTTTTTTCGTTACTAAAATATCTTGGATATTGAACACGATTATTCTCTGGACTAAAGTTCAATCCTCGCCACCAAGCTAGATCTCCAGATCTTCGCATCCAACCACTACCAGCCGTTTTGCAAATATCATCATTCTACTTTGCTGGAGGGTGCTCTACAACTGTCCAATTCCAAAGCCGTAAAAAATAATCTTCCTATTATCTATCCCTAGCTCATTAGCTAATCGCATCTGAAACGTATCTTCATTTTTAACTGATTAAGTAGAGATAGGTGTAATGCTACAAATCTATTCTCTGAACAATGTGCTTTTAAATTTTGATCTTATCTAGACGTAAAACAGCTAAGATATTGATAGACAAATCTCAATGAGGCCATCATCATTGAGGAATCTCTCTCCTTATCTTTCCATTGCGTAGATTGCGCCAGAATAAAATTTACAGTTCTCGATTTTAATTTTATAGTTCATCGAAGTTTGCACTCGTAAAATGTAGCGTGTTAGTCACGATCTCCCAACAGGCGCTCGATCTGTTAACGAGTTTGCTCCCGATGCCTTTCTACGCCCCCTGCTCGTTAATTATCACTTGTGTAACGCAATTAGCCACTTTCTGTTACATGCTGTTCATTAACGTATCGCCGTAGTTACTAGCGTAACTCGTTCGTTGACTACCCGTTGGGTTTTTGCAAATTCAGGACACTTTTAGTATCTCATTGACATTTTTGTTTTCTCACTCAGTAATCTTTTCTGACGTTGTGCTAGGCAATTCGAAGTTCAAGCGGATTCTAGCATCGTAAAGAGCATCGGTCATAAATTATTAACATTTCCTTTTAGCGTTTTTAAAACACGAGGTCTATTTGCGGATACTTAAAACATATACTTCGTTCTCCACTTCCGCTGTTGAGATTTATGCGTTGGATTATTCTGAGCTGTGTAGGACTGCGTAAGTTACACTCCGGGTATAATGAGCTATTAAAGCGGTAGAGTTGGCACGCCGAGCGCTGCACTATGCTGTAAGGGCACGCGCTACTTGCACTCGATGACAACCTGCTTGTAGTTTGTTGTCACAGCCTCCTCCTGGTGTTAATTGAAAACATTAGGTCCGAAGAGATTATTTCGAACTGTTATTACTTTTAAAAACTTCTTGCGAACCTAAAAACTTTTCATTTCGTGCTAAGAATATTAACTACACTCTATCAGCGATGGGCTAACCTGCGGTGCTCTGTACCTTGAGGGAAGCCTATTTCTATACTCATCTAAAAGCTACAGTTGGATCAGAAACTGTAGAAATTATTTAGGTTCAGATAAAAAGTCATCATCATCTAGTCAGCATTAAATGTACATGGTGATGTTGTACAACTTATTTACTCTCACGTAGGTAGATCCTGACTAATATGTTTACTATCACACAACAACAAGCTGGTGTAACCAGGTGGGCAGCATTGCTGCACTCGCGTGCCACTACCGTCAGAGCGGGCTTCATTTTTGGCGAGTTCTTCCAATAACAAGCCCAAGCGATGTGACACTTTTATAGACTTTAACACATGTCATACTGTGATGGCAACACGCATTTACGTCGGACCTACGTTGTTTTTGCGCACTGCACATTGGCCTGGCGACGCAGGCGCAATCGTACCTATGAATTAGGGCTGCGATGCTGCAATCATTGGTCCCTAATTTATCGCAGCGAGCGGCCACGCGAACATCAGCCGCGCGGCTCGCGTCATGTGACGCAAGTGCATCGTCGGCGCTGCTGTATGTTTACAAGCCAAACGAAGTTTACAATCACCGATAACCTGTAGGTTATGAATCAAAGGAAGCTAATCGAGCGCAGGCGAAGCGGGGTGCGGTCGAGCGAGTGGAGCGGAGTCGGTGGTAGTGCGCGGTGCCGGGTGCAAGAGCAGCGCGTGGGCGCGGGTCGTCGACCGCTGCACAGAGCGCGGTGCGCGCCCTGCCAGCGAAAACGGCAGAAAACCTCGCGAAGGGCGGCAGCACACGGTGTCCGCATTTAGCTCGGGCTGACGTGGCTGAGTCACCAGTCCGCGAATAGCGGCGGTTTGTTTGTTGCAACGGCCGCTCCCGGCTCTCCCGCCGAGTATTTCGAGCGGGCGGCGTGCAGCGCACAGTCCTGCGCGCTGCGTCCCCGCGAGTGCCCGCGAGGTCCGCCATGCCGCCGCTGCCCGCGCGCCTGCGCCGCCAGCTAGACGCGCTCGACGCGTGTGACGCCGGAGCCATCGTCACCACCATCAGGGACACAGTCAGCTGTAGTTGGATATTTTACAGTGAGTGTCGCCCCCGCGCGCCCGCCACCGCACCGACCTCGCGACGCTCCGCGGAAAGCCTCGACCACCCCTCACTGTGGATCACACTCTGTGTTAGCGTGTTTCCGAAACTCCTCGTTTGTCATGATGCTGTTCAGTGAATTTTAATTTTTTTTATTCGATTCACTTTTCGGTTTTTATCGTTTTGTGTGTATATTCCCGGAAAAGTTATTTCTACGTGTCGAAAAGTCTAGTGGTATGTGAACTGAAAATTTTGGGTGTATTTTCATATTTAAACTATTAAAGTGATATAACGGATTATTGAAAAACGCGTAGTATAGATGTAAACATCTCTTCACTTCCGTATTGAGTGAACTCTCCACAATACGTATTTTATAGACGAATAGCGAATCCTCATGGGCATAAATAGTGAATTATTTAATAGAAAAAAAGGATAGAGTGGTTACAAAAACAGACGTGGTAGAACAGACAGTATGTGTCGATAGTATTGGACGAGGCCATAGCACTATTGTATCGATGATGAATAGCTTATCAACGCCTTGTTAGTGCGCTGCTGCCATCTATTTGCGGGAAAAGGAATCATAATGTTGAAAGCAAGAAATCTAGGTGAAGCGTCTGACATCAGCAACTCGGGAGTAAATTTAACTCTTGACGTATTTAACCGTGCCGTGGGACTGCCGCTGATTCCTCCAAACATACGGATTGTTCTCGCATTGGCTCCCATTAGACGATCATTGTTTTAATTGCGTCATTGAATCGCGCGCGGCATCATTATTATTAGTGGCGTATGCGTCTTATGATACGTAATATTTTGTTGCTACCACTATTTCTTTGGTGAAATGTATGTTTAGCTGTACTGGCTCCTGGTTGACGTAGTCTGAGTTTAAGAACACGGGTTTTTGTTATATGTAGGTACCTATCTGTAGTCATTTATGCAGAAAATTTTGTTAATACAGTAAGCGTTCGGATAAAGCAATACCTGCTACAGTGCGATTGCCATTATTCCAGTACATCCGCAAAGCGACTGCAGCGCTTCATTTTCTTATATTTTTATGCGTCCCTTTATATATATTTTTCTTATTTAGTGTATTGTTTGTTGTGCAGGTAACAGTAGTGCGTCGACAGGGGGCGAAGGCGCCGCGCCGCCGCCCTCGGAGCCCGACCCGGCGCTGGACTCCATGCACATGATGCTGGACCCGCACCTCAGGCCTATCTCCCCGGACCTCAACAACGAGGAGTCCAAGAGAATATTCGAAGAACACAAACAACTTGCGCAGGAGTACCTAAAGGTAAGATTTTTTTTTTTTTTTTTTTATACTTTATAGGTCGACGTTTGACCACCATCTCGCCTGATGGTAAGCGATGATGTGGCCGACGATGGAGCACGCCTACCTATGAGATATCTTTTAATGAGCATTAACAGAATCATAACAAGTTCTTCACTAATCGAACTACAATATAAAGATAATAAACATTCCGTACTCAGTTTCTGGTGAAATATCTAGGCACTCTATTTCTATAGAGAATTGTATATGTAGATACTAACACATTATTAGTGTTATATTAAGTGTTGGGGGCACTATGTATTTATATACACTAATGACTGCGATACTTGTGTACCAACATTACCAAATAGTGCAAACCCTAATATCAGTGTATAATTTTATATCACGGCTAAATATTAATACGTGCAACCGTGATATATCTTACCGAAAATTTGTTCGTACAAAAGTGATTTCTAAACATCGGAAATAAAGTCTATAATGGAGCTGATGCTTCAGATGAAGACATAGGTTCGTTTATAAATACTGAAATTAAAAACCTATTAAAATGAAATCTTTTATAATAGCAGTTTTTGGTCTGAGCTCTTAAAAGTAACTTAATAATTTTGTAAGCATCGCTAAGTCCCTAATTATGTTTAGAAAAAGGTGTAAATATATTCCTCGTGTCGATGGCTATAGCGAACCCCGTAATCTCATTATATTAATTAGCTCACTGCCAAACGCGTTGCATAACACCACAAGCTATCAAAGATATTTCGGAACTGGAAATACCAATTTATAATTTTCCTGGTGAGATTGTGAGAACCACAGGTTTTGTTAGACACATGTTTAATTAAACCTCTAATTTAATAACTAACGCCTGAATACTGAAATGCTACTCAGTTTTAAATTGTACATCACGCTATCTCTGTCAAATTTTTAATGGCGTTTGAATATTTGAATATCGCATATACAAGATATCGTATGTAGTGGCAAATAGATTTCAAAATAAAGTTTTTATACGTCAACAGTTATTAGTCTAAACATAAGTAAAATAAAGTGGGAGAAATTAAGTTTTCTTAGCCAATTCGCATCAATCATCACAATAATCCTCCCTGACCACCACACTATCGTACGACTTAGTTGTGTTTACCCTAATAAAAGGGAGCTGGTCTATAATCTCTGACGCTGAAACGCTCTATGAACACTTTGTTTTTCTATGTGTTCGATCCACCCTAATAACACTTAACCGACTCTCGTCATTAACGGAAGAGTTTTAAATTTCGTTTTTGTAATTTCAGATACAGACTGAGTTCGCGTACCTCAGCAACCATAAAGCAGAGCTAGAGGAGAAGATGGACGACGACGAGTTACGGCAGAAGAGAGAGATTATACAGTTAGAGAAAGAAAAGGTAAATAATATTTATTATGCAATGATATTTTAAAGAAAAATGTAAAACTCACACATGGGATTTTTCTTATGTAACATCAAGATCAAATTATTTCTTGTTTGTAATAATTTGATATTAGGAATTAAAGCTTTTTCTATCCCTTACTAATCTAAAGAGAAACTCGATCCAAGTCGTACTATATTTGTCTATCTATTTTCATAAAGTTCTCAGATGTCGATTTGTAGCCACTACTTGTAACAGTCGCAAAAACAATCTATATAAGTTCAATAAAAATCTATTCCAGGACTCATTGATCAAGCTATACTGCAGCCTAAAGAAGCAGTTGGCGCGTGCAGAGAACGACAGCTGGCTACATCCAGAGGAGATGCCGCACGAGTGAGCGCGCCGCGCGCCGCTCCCGGGGACCACTGTGACGTGCACCATATGTGTCATTGATCTCAACATACCAAATGAGCCTTCGACTTTTCGTTCTCTCCTTATTTACAGGTTTAGTTTATAATACATTATACACGTATATTTAATAACACTTGTACTCGACAATAACAGTGTTTACGCGGCAGTATAAACTTATATCACGTCATCAAACGGCGCAACGTTTTCGTCATGTAATTTAGTCAATGCGCAGACGCCGCTTCAGTACATGTATAGTACCGTCATGTATTGTATAGTTTCGTAACCTTGACATTGTATCAGTTTTGTTATTTTACTTAAAACTTTTCTTTATATCTTCACTAACTTTACCACCGTAAACAACTAATGTATTTGTCGTTTTAAAAAAGCACGTTTTAGTGCTTTATATGTGAGTGTTACCCAATGTATTGAAGTAGTTTGTCATACTTTTATACGAGAGTATAGAAATGTTTATGCAATATTGTTTTATCTCATTTGATCATTTTATTAAAGAGTGTGGTATGCATTTGTTTTGATTGTATAAATGTAAGATAGTATATAGCAGTATTAGGTAAGTTAAATTATGTTAAGTTTAATAAATTTTTGTGAAATATCTGTTGTTTTCATTTATAGAATTCTTAACAAGCTTAAGAAGTATAAATAAAACTCTTCACAGAAATAGATACAACATCGCTATTCGTTTTATTCGAGAGATGCACAAATAAGCGGTGTGCCAAAATTAGACTATTCGCCACATGCCAGTAGTTTTAATAAAGCCAAACACTGAAGCAAAACAAACAAACGTGCATTATAATACAGTTGCTGCATAGTATATATCATAATTGGAACATTTATGGGTATTTAACCTTTTGACCGCCAGAGTGTAAACGCATCGCCGGCCCTCCCACGCCAAGCCACGAATTCAGCGCAAATAACTATAAAAAATAGGGATTCCAACATAATATCATCGATAACAAATTAATCGTTGCTTTTCGAACCATATTTTACCATATTTGAATTATACTATCATTAAACAGCAGTTGCAAAGTTTTAAACAACATAAAACTAGACTTTAGAAATACAAATGAAAAGAAAAAGGTTCATGCAGGTGGTACGAGACTAGCTCGTTCGTGACGTCGCCCGCTGTCGGGAAGAGCCGTCTCTGGCGTGGCTATACCTTTTGACAACTGCATCGCATGCAAATAGGGATGGGATATTGCGGCACATAATATTTTTTTTATGGCATAAGTCTGTAAACGGGCAGACATCACCTGATGGTAAGCAATCGGCGTCGCCCACGGACACCTGGAACACCAGAGTCGTTACAAGTACGTTACCGGCCTTTTGGGGATTAGGAGTTTGAGGATCGTTGGGGATTCAGGAATTGGGGAGATTAGGGAAGGGGAGGGTAATTGGGCCTCCGGTAACCTCACTCACACGACGAAATACAACGCAAGCATTGCTTCACGTCGGTTTTCTGTGAGGCCGTGGTATCATTCCGGTCGAGCCGGCCCATTCGTGCCGAAGCATGGCTCTCCCACTTAATAATCATCAGAGGTCGGAGTAGGTAGTTTGATTTAAGGTCGTTGACGTGAAATGTTGGTAGAGGATCATATACATAGATACGCCACACATGGTTGATACGCCGCGATTACAATACTCTGGTTTACTTCTTTTGCGAGTTTGTATAAGGCGTATGACTGCGTAGTCAGTCGCTTACATATGGTATTTGTGTGGGTTTGCCATGACATGTATCTGTCTAGTTCTATTCCTAGGAATTTTATGTTTATTGTGATTAGTTTTTTGTTCAAATGTCATTATTTTAGTTTTGTCAATATTTATTTTTAAATTATTTTTGGTCATCCATTCTATTAATGATCCTAAGCATTGATTTATCTCTGTTTCAAGTGTCAAGTCATTATTATTTGTACTCAAGACTATTGTGCCGTCATCTGCAAACAGGACCATTGGAGTGTGCGTTACCCAGGCCAGATGTTGTCGAAAACATTTCCTGCTGGGGTAACGTTACCCCAGCCAGACCTTTTTCTTTCTAATGGGAATATTTAAATAATTACTAGCTATAAAATATCTGTCCATGAATAGAGCTGCCACCGGATTCCTCTCATCTACACTCATGATCATTCTTTCATATAATTGTAGAATTGCCAAGTTTATGTTCTTTTTTCTCCTTTTTTTTTAAGGGGGGAAAATCATCGAATGACTGCTCCCGCCTGGGTGAGGCGGGAGGGAGTGTCAGACTCTTACTGACTAAAAACCACCCCGTTCCTTCTCCTGCACGTCGAGCCGGAGCCCCGGTTACCCGTTAGGTTCTCCGCGACTCCGAATCGGTATCGGCCCTATTGGGCCCCATCTGTGGTGGTCTGATCGCTCTTTGAGGCGCGCGCGGAACGCGACGCGCGGTACGCTCGGGTCTGTTTCTGGTCGGACGGGGAGCCACCCATGCTCGCCGTCCGCAGGCCCGCGCTTACGGTGGCCGGAGATCGTCTCGCGATCCCCGACGCCCGGTGTGTCATTCGCGATGGCTGGGTTGCGAGGAGGCAACGCTACGCTGCCTCACGCGTCCCGCCTCCTCCTTAGCTAGCATGACTGCTTCGCAAAAAGAGGAGACGGCATCCCAGTCCCCCTCGCATTTTTCTCCTAAAACCATATTGTTCATCTACAAAGATTTTTATTTACTTTTTCTGTACCTGACTGACCTGACTTCAGTAACTGATAGGTAGATTACTTTTTCTAGAATTTTGGAAAAAATTGGAAGCAATGCAATAGGACGATAATTAGCTGGGTCCTTTTTGCTACCTTTTTTATATAGAGGCTTAATAACTGCCAGTTTTAGTCTGTCTGGAAATACACCTGTTTCAAAACACAAATTATGAAATTTATAGAGGTAATATAGATAAGTACTGGTGCGACACTGGGAGATACACTTGTTATGATCTCATCATAGCCAGAGCTGCTTGTATTAATTAATGATTTTATTAAATTTATAATGTCATTGGGAACTGTTGGAGTCAAGAATATGGTCAAGGAGTCAAGTCATAATGCATATCAAGTTTATAAGTTAAATTATTAAACTTATTTGTGTCTGATTGAGATTTAATTTCGTCAATAAAATAGTCATTTAGCGTTTAAGCTACGCTCTTTGGATCAGTTAGTGCGTTGGTGGTTATTTTAAGTTTTTCTATTCCTTATATAGGACTGTCATTTTTGCTCTTATTTATAATTTACCACGTAGCTCTACTTTTATTAATGTTACTTAAACTTTCACAAACTTTCCCTTTATTAAATCCTATCGAATAAAATTTAATGTATCAATGGATGATCAAGAGAGATCAGTCGTTTACTTTCTCAAATATATGAAGCTCTGGTACTTTATTTATTTCATGAAAATACTAAAGCAGGTGATTTTGTTTCATTAATTAATAAAGTGTACCTACCGATTTAATCATAGTTTCGTTAGCAATCAAAGCATGCTGTAAGAAATTGATTACAGTGCAATTTTCATAGCAACTGTGTAAGTGAACGTAAATTATTAATTATTGTTGATTACGATTACAATCAAAACGAATTAATGAATTATAATTATCTTTCATAATCACTGGTCATTAGTTATTGAGGTACAAAATAAATAAAAAAAGATATCAGTCCAAATAATTTATTTCAATTGTCATAGTCACAATATAGATTTTTTATTTATTGGAATGGTTGAATGAACATTTAAAAACAATAATTGATGATTAATTTGGCACTTCTGGTTATTAATCCATCAATATTTGTTGAGATTCGAACCTTAGACAAATAAATGCTTTTATGATGAACACATCGTCATTGTTTTTGTAAGTATTTATTATGGACGATTCTTGACGTAACAACTTATGTACAATAATTACAATAATCGTCTAGATGACTACAATACTGGGCCGCGGCGCCCGCGACGTACCGAGCCCGCACTCGCACTCTACTGCCCACTTCGGCGCGGCCGTGAAAATGAAACGTTAAACAATATACAAACAGTGTCGGCTGAACAGAAATCCTTGGGAATCTATATTTACTGTTTATTCCAATTGTATATTTATACAACTTTACTGTGATGTATACAATTTAGGTAAATAAATAAACTCGCGAATTTTCTAATACTATCATAAATTTACATTTTATTTTTTTTACTTTACATAGTGATATGATCTTACGTTTATTAAATTTATGAAATAAATAATAATAAAAAGCGATATAACTCAAATCACTAACCAATTTAAAATACATCCAAAATCATGTACAGAAATAATTCGGCTTCGAGAGGAATTATCTCGGCCCTTTGTGTTCAACCAAATGTTTAAATTATACAAAATGCAATAACATTACGCCACATAAATAACGTGCCACTTATTATGACGCAACGCGTCTAATTAAATATAATTTCGTTGTCAGGGCCCGATGTATTATGATAAACTATATTATATTAAATTATACAGGAATGAAATTTGCTAAAACGTCCACTTAGCTACAGTTTTTAATTACTAATATGAGAAAACCATAACAAAGGCAATTCCATCAAGCCTTTCAAATATGATATAGATACACTAAAATATTTTCATTATTATTTATAACTCCTATTAATAACGCCATATTTTGAAACATCATAAAAATAATTAAGGCAACAGTCGCTTTAAAAATAAAGAACTGTTGTTACATGTACAAGACGAGAACGTTTTGTCGATGTAACAGCGCGCTCACGAAATAGTTTCCTTAGCTACATATAATCTCACACTTGAATAGTTCGCATAACACATAAGAGGGCGCCACGCGCGACTCACGCGGCTCCAGTAAACATAACGTACGTAAACTAGGTCTAACTGGACACAAACGTATGAAAGTATTCTCCGGGGGTCAATGGCCGCACAGAACTAACACTTTGTTACAAGTACTACAATATAACGAAGATATAACATTAACGGATAGTTGGTGCTACTTGAAGGCAGCTCGTTACTCTAGCTTTACTAACAGAATCATCACATAAAGCCGCGGTATCACACCACACGCTTACGACTGTTCCCTACAAGCTACGAGTACTAGAAGACAACGAGACAGAACAGTTAACAGATATGGTCATGTACTTACTCAAGTGAAATATACAGTATAGAAAATAGTGTATAATTATGTTAGAACAATTGTAAATGCCTATCAGACTGAGAAGTGACAGAATTAATCTGAAAATACTTGAAAAATTATATAATTATTAATGTATAACGAACAAGAGAAACTATTGTATACATATAGACAAACATTAACTATGTCATAACATTACCTAGACTTAACTGGTCATGGAATGGAGTATTCTGCGAACACGAGAGCTATTGCGCGTGCGCATATTACCAGTTATTTTAGTAAATTTAAGTAACTAAAGTCTACTAATGGCTCGTTCGTGGCCTCAACCACCAGTCACCACGCTTCACTACAGAATACACTAGCTTTCGACAAGCAACCAAATATAGTGATTCATAACTATATAATAATATATTTTTAATAATAAATATCTCTCGCATTAACCTCTATTCAAACAATAAACAAATGTCAAACGAAGCACACAAACACATCTGACGCAATACTAAATTGAGCAACGTTTACAGGGAATACAACAAATTACAGCTTTCATAATGTATTGTCAACAGTTCTCGGACCACGTGTCGTTACATTACATCTAATACATATAAAATTTCAGTTATAGGAATTAGGAATAAAATCTGATATCTAACGAGAGGGGAAGACTGGTATGGTCAATCGTTGTCATTCCTGAAATTAAAAGAAAGTTCAATTAGTTTAGGCATAGAGTTGAATTTCATTATATAGTAAAAATCAGTGTCATGAATTAATTTATAGTAAAATTTATGTGTGTTGGTAATAAAAAATATTGTACATACAAATTTTTAGTGCTACTACTTTTACTTTTACTACCAGCTAACTTAAGTCAGTTGTTTGTTAGACAAGTAAGACAAAAACTAATTACATATGTACAATGTACATAACCAACTCAAAGTGTAAGCCATGAAACGGGTATTTAAATATAAATGCAATAAATAACGTTACTTATTTTATTCTAACGGCAGAATAAAATACAACACATGACATAAAGTTAGTAAGCACACGTTATAAAGGTAACAACAGCGTATATAATCAATTGTTCTACATTATATAATATTTGTTCGCGTGTAACTTTCTGAAGGACTGCAACAAATTGATAATATTTTTGACGTATTAGACATTCTTTGAACAAGATTTATGACTTTATATGAAAGAAAAAATGCTTAGTAACCTCGGGGAACAGCTCTGTTGCGAAGTCAGGCGTGAACTCATTGTTATAACATATTTATTGTATTAAAACACTTCTAAACAATCTGATGTTTCTAACCAAAACTATTATCACGCTAAACGAACCAGTTTATCATAAGCATTAAGGGCAGATGGCAATCATTCTATGTACAAAATTGCTATACAGCAGAATCTGGTTAAAACTCAATCAAACTATCCGAAAAGGGACATTGAATAAGGACCATTGAAGTTCTAACTTCTAAGGCACGCATAGTCCGGAATAATCAATTAGTAACGAGTCTGGGTACGACCTACTTTACATAACCATAATATTAACGGTAAATATTGGATAATGTTAATTCTGTGTTAGACAAATGTGCTTGAATTAGAAAACTGGTTATAACTGATAACACTGTTACCCTTGTACCCACTACAGGATTATAGTAATATGCAAAGCAAGCCAGTGCCACTTTCGTACTAATACTAGTATTCGTATTTAATTGTAATGCTAGTATTTGTAAGAATAAATAGTGTATGTACCTGATGGTATACGATCACTAGCTGGGCTGGTGCCTGGCCTGCCACTTGAAGTCGACCTGCATGAGCCACTGCTGCCCCCGCGATCGGTTGCACGGCCTCAGTACCGGCTTCCACACGTCGCCCGCCTCCGGCTTGTCTAAGCACATGCCTGTGTTCGTGTGCTTTATAGTTCTCGTCTGAAATTCAATACATACTCATGTTAATAACCAAAGGCCCAATCAGTGAAACGTCTGTAATAGATTTACAACCTTATGTTTTTGCAATAAAGTTAAGAATACATTAATCCAAGACAGCTGGATATACAAGCTTTAGTATTGTGTGATTACCTTCGAATCATACGTCCACTCCTGGTTGCCTCGCATCCCGTGGCATCGGATCAGCTTAATGGGGCCTCGCGGGTTTGCCGCATCCAAACAGTTGTCGTCAGACATTATCTGCTTACGCTTCGTGTACGCAAACACCTGTATACAACATCGAATACAGTTTCTATAATATAATAGTTATGCTAATTGAAATAGGAGACATTTTATATTGAATTTCGCAAGTAAGAGACGCATGCTTCAGTCTGGATGGGTCGGCTCGTCTGAAGTGATATCACGGTCTCATAGAAAACCAACGTCAAATAACCCTTGCGTTGTGTTTCGCCGAGTTAGTGAAGTTACCGGAGACCCAACCCGTCTCTCAAAAGGCTGGCAACGCAATCGCAATTATTCTGGTGTTGCGGGTGTCCATGGGCGGCACCAAATGCTTACCATCGGTTGATTTTTATGCTCGTTTGACGCCTTCTTCAAAATTATTATTTTAAAAAGTCGGTTGACACTAGGGACCATGCAGCAATTCGTATTAGCTTCATTCTACCTCTAGAGACATTTTGACAAAGAAAATTACACAAGTACATTGTAAACATTTTTTTGTCCAATAATAATTACTTCACACACATATACAAGAACATAAAGCTTAATTTTCTGTAAAACGATACGATATCTACATACGCATACATACGTAGTATACATACACACACACGCACTGTGTGCAAAACGATAATTTGTTTCAGTACAAAGCAAGATCCGATTTGTACGGAGCCAGCAGGTCAAGCTATCCTTTACTGTCAAATTACTCCATTACATTTTCAACTTTATTGTATTGACATAAAATCGAAAATCCAATGAATAAATTTGACAGATTGGAGAAGCCTGATCTGCCGGCCACTACAAACACAAGATTGACAAAACTATTCAATCTAAAAGTTAAGTTAGTAATCGTGCTTATAAAATGATCAGCGTGTTATGTTGGAGGACGATTTCCTTTATTTATTTATGAAATATAGGAAAATATACGTTCCCAATTACAAAAAAATATATTTTACTTCAAACCTTCAGGAAGCAAAAGGGGTATGTAAGAATCGTAGCAATTAGCGTTCCATAATCAGGGAGACAGGTGTGAAGTATGCCTACAGTTGCCAACAGTTGATCAATGGCGCTGTCAACTGGGACTGGTCAGCTCCAGACTATTATATTTATTGTTCCCAAGTTTATTTTCCTTTTCCTTCTCGTTGACTGAATATTGGTGTTACATTGTTCTCACATAATTGAACCAACGAAACAATGTAACCATCCATCCTTAAATTCTCATTTATATAGTTTTCATATCATATATATCGTAAACAGAAATCTAAGCAACATAATAGAAACTTTACTGTTGCTAATAGTGCCATTGAATTGGTTAATTAAGCATTCGATACGTCATGTACAAAGAAAAATAAACCTTAATTTCACAGAAATGAAATTCATATTAGCTTGCTAGTTAATGCAACTGCAACGGTCATTTGTAACTGTGGAAATAATAGTCAAAACATTACTGGTTTAGCGATGTAAAGTTTTGATAGCATACTGTGTACTTGTGTAGCTGTACATTACTATACACAAACATAATTATTAATTACACTTCAGTTTATTATTTGTTAAACAAACTTAATATTCTAATCTAACTCGTTGAGTACCGTCATTATAGACACAATTAAAGAACAATAGGATGCGGTCGCCGGTGCCCTCGCGGTGTTTGAGTTTAATAATTGAAATTACTTGATGCAGGGCCGATTTAGTCAACGCCAGATAAATATTATCAGAGGTTTAAATATTTGACAATTCTTCCACACTAAAAACTGTCAAATGTTAATTTTATTCTACAGATAAAAATTATATTTGGGTTTAACAAAAAATATTTTATAAACTACGTTAAATAAAACCAACTTCAACTCCATTTTTTGAATTCTAACAATTCTCCCAAGTCCAACAACACCTTTCTGAAAACGTCGTCAATTTTTTTTTCTTTTTGAATTCGTTTAAAAGTCGGCCCTAAAGGTCATGCGCTTTATGCGATAGAGATGGCAACATTTTGATAAATGACGATTCAGAGAGCTTTGTAATGAATATAATCAATCGGGTATACCAACTATAATTTCATATCCCTTTAACGTCTGTTAAAGGGATATAAAACAAGTAAAGAGAGTTAAAGAAAACTTATCCACATCTAAAGAAAATAAGAGATGAAAGCTTATTTACCTCTATTTTAAGGTGTTTTCCCAATTAGTTTTATAGAAATGAAAACCCCAAAAAATTTCTACTTAATGCATTTCCCTAAAGCATCCAGTTCCAACATAACAAACGCTTACTTTAACTAAAAGCAGTGCAAATTAGTCAATGAAATAACCTCCCATTACAGCAAACATATGTATGTTCAGATATTTAGTATGACTGTATGACTGTATGTAGGCATGAATTATCGTGTAACCTGTTACAAGCAGTGCAATGTCGAAGCACCACGTAAACACTGTACATAGTGTACAAGCATATACTATACATACTTGATTTAATGGTATTTCTCGATATTTTTCACGTTTCTTTGTCTTCTTTGATCTGGTCTTTAGTTGCAACGAGAGGCAATGTCATTACTTACGAATAATTTAAAATTATTAGGATTATATAATTTAAGCTAATATTGTAGGGTGTAGCATGGTAAATACAGGCCTACTGGTGTGCTTTTAGTTGACAAAATTAATAATGAAATTAGTTTAAGAATGGAGGAACTTCAATAGGATCGCAAAAGGTCATAAAACGGAGTCAAAGATATCTTAGCAGCTGGTTACACCACGAAAAGGTGTTGTATTCCTCACGTTACACCATAGCCACAGACTATAAATAAATAAAGGTAATTAAATATTAGCTATACACACCTGGTTGCCGCCCATACCGTGACAGTATCCCATGCCGAGCGGTTGTCCCGCCTTGCCGCCGAGCGTGTCCAAACAGTTCGAAGTCTCCGCGTTTCGGATCTGCAAACATTCATATTTACCATCAAACACACGCAACACTTGTATAAACACAACATATATAATCTATTTACATAACAAAATACGTATTACACTATACTATAGGCTAATATGATGAAATTGGGTATTAGCCTAGTAGGTAAAACTATGAACGGAATGTTACATTATTGAGAACTCAAGTCGTTATAAAAATGTCATCTACTTACTTGTATTGCTACTCATAAAAATATTTTATAACAGAGAAAAGCTAAGGATTTAATAATAATTGTATAATTAGTGAAAATTCTATTTCATTAGGACACAATGATCGACTCGTACGTCCAGGTCGCAACATGTACTCCATATGCAGTTTGTTTAAAGGTATTTGACCGAGTGTCAATAAATTCTAGTGTTAGTTCGTTGTCTCTTGTAGACTCAAAGGTTGCGATACTGGTGTAAGTGTCCAAGTAACGTCTTATAAACTAACTGAACAAAAAATTTAGAACACTGTTAAATGACTTAAAGGGGGTTTTCAACTGTAAGTTAACCAGAGAAAGAGATACTTGATCACAGCCATATTCTCTTACATATATAATTTTATTAGAGCACCTATTTAGTATAAGAGTAGAAAATGTGAACTCACTTCTCCAAGATAGTAGTAGTCGAGCGGCATCTGACTCTCCGGGTATATATTTTCGAGGTACCACCTGAAGCTCTTGCACTTGAGGCGCTCGCGCAGCGCCTTGCGCTCGCTGACGTCACCGACCGGCACGTTCAGTGCGCCTGCTCATACCACCACGCAATTACATTACTACGACATACTAACATGTATAATGATACTACACATATATATGACAATACTAAGGTCGGTTCTTACGTACTTTCATCGTTCCTCGTATAAGAATTGTACAGAGGATCTGTATTAACATAAACTTCTTCCGTACTATCTGTTACTGTTACTACGTTATCTTTACCGCTTACACTTGGCGATACATATGTCCCGACGGGGCCCACTGTTTTATTATCTTTATATTTCTTTGGTGCTTGAAAAAAATATCAAAAGACAATTAAAGTTTCAATCAAGCACTAGGGCAACCCCAAAGAAAGTAACAATATTTGAACCGTTTAAAATCAGAAGAAACAGTTGTAAATCAATTGGATCGACATGGCAACACTACTGTTAGTTTGAAGCATGAACTGAATACTTTTATCCAATAACAATGACGTAGATACAATACAAATGAATGTATGCGACCAAAAGTTAATGACTTGTTAATTTTGTTAGAGACATGCTGGCAACACTTACTTATGTGTTACAACGACACATGAATAAGTGTTGCTATAAAAACATATATACAGGATTAATAAGTTATAAATGAGCAACACTGTAAATATTGACTTGTTCATGCCATTAACCCTGTATATTGTATTAGCTACATACGGACGGACACGCAACATGTAAGATTGACATAAAAAAATGTAAATATTTTTCCCTCTACTTCTTTGTCCTGTTATCAACACATTTATGATGCCTATTGAAACATACGCTTATCGCTTACCCACCTGTTCTGAATTTAGTCAAGCAAGTACAAATAAAATAAGTGTAGTACGTCTATAAAATGTTGAAAAAGAAAACGGCTACATTTATTTTACTTCCGCCATACTTCACCTTACGAAACGTTCCATATTTTCATTAAAATAATTATTATTATGATTGAGCCAACCTTGAATTCTTTAGGTCAATAAACGGCACTTTTCTAACAAAAAAACGGAATGCAAAAATAAGTAATCAAAACGTGTTGACACTAATTCGTACATTCCGAAAGGATTATGTCGAGTGTCAAAATGATTATTAGCTTGCTTTAGATGATTCATTTCAAATCATCTATCATTTATTTGTGTTTATTTACATAAAAGAAGAATCGTGAACCCAGAATCCAAAAGCTTCAAAATGGCAATGTTTTAAAACACAATACGCAACATAGATCATAAGAACGTACTGTTTGCGAACACGCTACATGTTGCACGTTTGACCACACAAACACAAGGTTGACTATACAAAAACTAGACTAAATTGAAAGCAGGTGGTTGCACCAGTACCGGGGTTAATATTGTAGTAGAAATGCTTCCAGTCGTCGAGCCAGACCTCAGCGAGGCGCGCGTTGTTGTGGTTGACGACGCGGCCGGTGCCGCCGGGGAAGGAGTAGGGCGTGGTCTTGCGGAACACGTGGCCGACGTGCGAGCACGGAGCTATCTCCAGGCGACCGCCACACATCCACACCTAGCGCGGACCGCCACACCACCCCGTTATGGACCCAAGCGAAGTAGCCAGGACGATTGATTTATTATTATTCAATTGTGAACTTGGTCCTTCGATACGCACTAATATGTCATAAATGTTTGTTATTTTTAGCAGTATCCAATTTAGTCTATTGTGCATAGACTGTTACTATTAACTAGAATATTCCGTTTGTGTAGCAAATATACTTGATTTTCAGCTTAGGACTCCGACAGCACATAATCTTTTAGTGCTGCTTAGAGTGCTTAGTACCTTTACTGATATACTCAAATTAAAAGTAAATTCAAGGTGCGATTAAAATCTGATATTGTGAAGAATGTACCTAACGGCGGTAATCGAAAAAGACCAACGATCAATAAGTCAAAATCGGTATACTTTTTGTGTCTTCTGATTCTTAAGGTTTCGGATTTTCAGCATTTTTATATGTTTATAATTTGGATTATAATCTTATATTCATAAAACCACAATAGTTTTTATTACGTAAAACTAAACTTCAAATATCATGAATGAAGCGATCGTTCTACTGTTATACAAATCTATAACATTGTTCACGTGGATCAATTGTAGATTTTCCAACAAAAAACATGTCGTTTCATTGTTCTGTAGATCTCAATCGAGAAACATTACATGCACTTGTGTTTAACAAAAACGTTTTTTCCTTAAGCGCCATTGAAATTATTAGCATAGCAACATGATAATTATCGAACGTAATTCGGCAAAAACTCAAAATTAAGAGCCAAGTAAAAGTTACAAACTCTTTAAGATAAAATAGAAGACGAGCAAAAGTGAACCGATTGCCTTAAGACATAGAATTTAAAATTCATTCATCATGGCTACTTATTCGATGTTATTCAACATTTCACACCTGCGAGGGCTACGTCACGCCATTGATCAATAATTAAATAGAACTAGTTTACAAATGTACACTGGTGACGTTCCCTGCAAGTCTGAGACGCACACACGGCAGTCACATGCAATAATGAGAGAATTAATTAAAATTATATCCAAAACTTCAAATTATTGCGAGCGACAAAGTTAATATCACATGTTTAGAGTTAGCACGTGTATTAGTAATCGAACAATCACAATAAAAATATTAATCAACTACTGAGTACAAAAGCACATAATTCTTCCAGGAATCGATGCTAAATTTACCGAAAGGGGGTTTAGGCTATACTATTGAACTGTTGATATGAAAACACGAGGCTTGTTTTAACTTCAATAACAATGGAAACAACAATAAAAATCCCGAATAATAATAGAGACTACAGGAAGATTTAGTAGTACAGAAATAATTATGCAGGTCAAATGGCCGACCTGCTCATCTAATCTAATAGGAGCGATCGTAACTAAGTAGCCCATTACATAACTTTATATAACACTTCTCTCGTATGGTACATACCCATTTCTGGAATTTAACAACAACCTGGTATTATTATTAATCACCAAACACATAAAGTTTTTTATAACACAAAACAGGAACCGATATTAATAATAGAGATATATATCAATCTATATTTTCTGCTATTTATTATATTAATTATTTAACTGTTATCGCAATAACACACAATTCTATTAAGCCATGATAGACGGGTTGCGGGAAATGATACTTATTTCTATTAATAGAATATGTTTCAATGTCAACCACCGACTGAAGGACCAGAATATTGCGAGACAAAGAACCAGCATCCAATTCTATTGAATTTATGAATAATATGAAAAATTTGTAGACACCCGTATCATACACTATGACCGAGGAAAACATTTTGAAGAAACCTGGACTAAAATTACCGCTTATAAGTTTGAAATCACCAATTCACATTGAGCAATTGTGATGATTAATGTAAATTCCTTCTCTTTACGAGAAGAGGCTGTTGCTCAGCAGTTGGACGGGTAAAAGCTGATGACAATGATCAAACGTCAATTGTGTAAAATATTCCATAAGAATTACGCAGATGATAACTTAAATGGAAGTAAGTAACTTCATGGTACTTAATTATTTGGTCAGTTGGTCTAAATTAATTTTTTACGAGAAGAGGCTGTTGCTCAGCAGTTGGACGGGTAAAAGCTGATGACAATGATCAAACGTCAATTGTGTAAAATATTCCATAAGAATTACGCAGATGATAACTTAAATGGAGGTAACTTCATGGTACTTAATTATTTGGTCAGTTGGTCTAAATTAATTTTTATCATCAAGGTTCCAACGAATAGTGTCACCAATATTTACTTCACGTAAATACTAAAGTAAATAATACAGAGTCTCATTATATTTATAAACTACTTGGTACAGTAATAGATAAATTAGTTAGGACATATCATTAATCGCTACCCGTCTTAAAAGGATTGCTGTGGTTAATTCTAGTATTGATTGGAAATATTATTTATCAAAACTCATTGCTTCTGCATCAAGAAGAAGCAGAAATTAACATAAAACATTGAAAGAAAAAGAGTACAGCGAACAAAAGTAAAAAAGGTGTTACAGGATTAAATCAAAGTAAAAGAAAACTTATTTAATCTGTACGTTATTAAAAACCATGATTCCAAACACTAATTTAATCCTGCAACGTAATAAGAAAAAATAAACAGACACAAAGAGCGGGAAAAACATATAGATTATAAAAAAAGCTATGAAGCAAAATGAATGGAAAGTAAAATGACATGCCCAGACATGAATGCAGCCGCAATGGGGTTAATGTTAAGCTTAACTGGATTATATTATCAAAATGTTAATGATGTAATGTATCAAACTTTACTTTGTTAGTGTTATATCCCAAGCCACAACAAAACTTTCTTCATTTGTACCTTCACTCCTAGCATTTTGCTATATTAATCGTAACTTTTGTACTTAAATTTTGTAATTAGACAACTTCCTTAAGTTCTAAGTCTCTTTTACTCTCTTTTACATTAAATAACTTACTGATTCAAAATGGGAACTCCACTTGAATCTATGTATTTTTATTTTTGAGTCAAAGTAATTGACGGCAATTGGCTTACGTTAATAAAGAAACCACATAGAGTTATAATTAGGACACTAGAACTATAAGATAAATCTTTGAGCTTTAAGAGGTCAACTGTTTCATCCAGATGTGAACTTGTTCTGTTTAGTTATAAATTTATTTATATCTATTATCCTCGTGTCGATTTGTTTGTATCCCTTAACGAGAAATAAATCAAGAACTCATTATTAAAGTTAAGTTTACATGAGATAAAACAGAGACGGTCGGTAGAGAAGTGTTCTAGTACAAAAATAGCAAAATGTTAGTAGTGTCGGCACATAGATCCGAGTCGAACCTGGGTTCATGGCGTAATAGAACTCTCCCCACTCGTCCATCCAGACTTCGGCGACGCGGGCCGCGTTGTGGAGGACGACGTTCTGCACCCCGCCGGGGAACGAGTACGGGGACTTGTCGCGGAACACGTGGCCCACGTGCGAGCACGGCACGATCTCCAGGCGACCGCCGCACTGCCACACCTTCAGCCCACACCACAACATGCACAATTGTAGATACTATCTCCCCATCGTGAAGGCCAATCTCACTATTGTGCAGGAGACATTATATGCACAAATGTGTACGCAAACACAGGTGCACATCACTCTACCTATAGTATCGGCGCTAACTCTGTCTTAAACATTTTTGGGCCATCATTAGCTCTTGTCATAAAGGTATTATTTTTTAAGCCTTCAAGACTTCTAAAAGAAGGACATGGTACAGTTAGACTATATGTGTTCTAGCCACATCATCAACTAAAGCCAGTTTATTTAAACGTCATAAAACGTGTTTCATAAACTTACCATATTGGCTCAAATTACATATGATTGAATCACACTGAATATTGATGTAATAAGGTAGTGGGCAGCGCATAGCGAGACACAAGCTGATTAGCAGCCAACTAACAGACTAGGAACTATTCTACATTTGTTTCTCCTTCTTATCGCTCTATGTAAGTGGTTTACCCTGAAACTCATTTCGAGGTTTTCTCCACCCCAAATGTCCATGCCCTGGTCGTAGGAACCGATCTGGTAGAAGTAGTCCTTGTCGATGGCGAACAGTCCGCCCGCCATGGTAGGCGTGCGGAGTGGTGCCGTGCGGTCGCCGCCGCGCCGCGCCATCTCGCGCTCCGGCACGCGATACCTACGTACAAACAATTTAGATACATTAACAAATACTTAATAAAACCTTATCTTTAGATAAACGATTTCAAATCATGTTGTATTTGTACAACATTGATATTTCCTAGTAAAATGTATTCTGCATCTAATTGATAACAGTGAAATCGATATTAATTAATGTCCTTTTTAAATCATTATTTTTATCAAAATTGCTTGAATACAAAATTTATTACCTAAATAGGCAATATTTCCTGTTTATTGTTATTACTTAGTAAAAAAATTTAATTTACCGTCTCGAAACTCATGAAAAACCGTAATTGCCGATTACAAGTTTAGAGTTCCGCAAGTCAAGTTACATATTACGTGAAAGTGAATCAAAATAATTTTAGCAGCAATTTTAGCAGATTTATCATTAATATGCACTGCGCTGTAAAGGTGTTGTATCATAATAGAACGTTGCAACATCGTATTTGCTACTCACTTTTTAAATTTGATAATATAAAGATGGCATAATGTTTTAATCATCACAACCTACGCAAGATCCCTTATTGTACATATGACTGATGTGGCTTTAAATTTTTTATTATCGCCCGAACTTTAAAATACAATCGGTTACTTTTAATCTTATATGATACATGTTTCGCACTGAAAACGCATGGACTCCAAAGACGATACCGCATTCAGCGTTCTGATTTACCGGCTCGGAAAGAACCAACCAATAAGAGCGCCGAACGCGGTGTCGTCTCGATTACTTTAAACGTAAAACAAACTCGTACTAAGACCTCTGTATGACAAGCTTTTTTGTGTCAAATTTCTTTATTAGATTTTCAATTTTAACATTTCGCTATAAAGTTAAAAATAGAGATAAAAAACAATTACAGATAGTTGTTCAGTCGACTCCTTTTACAACCCTCGTTACCTACTCGCGACAATCTTTACAATTTAAAAAGAGATATCTTAAAACATTTCCTATGTATCGTTGCTATATAGACCATGTAGAAGGAATTCGTAAAGCTAATTGTAACAAGTAATGGAGGCATGAAGCCTGAATGTTCAAATAATGATTAGCAAACGGCGCAAGCGAGTATTGACTTTATGGTAAACGTATGCGGGTAATCAATTACTAATTAAACAATTCGATTTGGCTGTAAAAAATGTACTTTTACTCTTTTTATAGTACGTGTCTTTTTACTTTGTTTTTGACCTACTCTGCTAGGCAACTGAAGTATATTTAGCCGTTTTAAGTAAGTATCTACCTAATATAGGTACTTATTGGACATGCCTGAATACAATAATTACTAATACTGTGGTAGTATATTAACCGCGGATTAGTAACAATAAATTGGTCCTTTCACCTCATAATATTCCAATACTTTTTAGTTAAAATATTCGAACACTATATTCGCCGACTGGTAAAACATATCGACCTGGCTGCACGGTTGGTGCGGTGGCTGGGCAACCGGCTGCCGTGCAACGTGTCGCGGGTTCGATTCCCGCACGGGACAACACTTTGTGTGATCCACAAATTGTTGTTTCGGGTCTGGGTGTCATTGTGTATGTGAACTTATATGTTTGTAAACGCACCCACTACACAGGAGAAAATCCTAGTGTGGGGCAACGTTTTTTTAAAGAAAGAAAGAAAGAAAGAAAACCTTTTTAGATCGAACACCATTAAGCCAAACCAATTACTTATTGGCTATCACGTGGGATATGGGGACGCGTGAACTTATTAATGAGCGTTGTAATCAAGGTGTTTTCCACCGCGACCGCGTCGGTAAGGAAAACAATGGGACGCAGCTGTTATGTAATCACAATAATCAGCAACAACAATACGTACGTACCTGTGACTCGTACAAGCGCACGCGTCGAACGCTGTTTCAGTCAACTAACATTAAACACAAGATTTAGTTACATGCAACAGAAACGCTTGTTATTATTACCGTGAAAACGAACCTTGTTTTACACCTATTTAGTTCAATACTTTAGTTATTGCTTTTTAATTGTTTTAACTACAAAGCAAACTGTATTGTTTGATATAATGAATATGAGTGGGTATGAATTCATTCGCGGCGAGTTAGTACTTACGTAGGTTATTGTGACTACACTGGATGACAATATAACATCTAAAGGATATACCTACTTCTATATCGAAGGATATAGAATATTTTTGGCAATGACATACGCACGCTCGAAATTCGCTTATGACTCCTACACAACTACTGACTATGACAGATTAAAAACGCAATGTAAAGTGCACCTAAATTATTGTTACTTACCATCTAAAGTTTAGTTTCCAGTTGAACCCGCCCCACGTCATGTCGGATGCCTGAATGTACTCGAATGTGGTGTCGGATATAACGTCAATGATGGGGCACACCACTGTCGTCCGGTCCTCCACGATACGCGCCAACAGCGGCTCGAGCCAGCCCTCTACAAATACAAAATATATGAGTCATTATACCGCAATATCACCAACAGGACGACATAAGAGCATAGTGAGAAAATAAAAACCCAACAATCGGTCCTATCCGGCTTCAAATACTAATTTTTTTTTATTTGTAAAGACAAAGACATGCACTGCTGAATATAGGCATCCCCAAACAACCCCCAGATAGGCCAGTTTGTAGTGACCTACATCCGTCATACAGCGACCATTGTAAGAGTTTCCCATGTAAAATCATGAAGTTTAAAGATATTAGTTTAGTTTCAGATCGCTATAAAATGCTTCACATGTGATAGTATGTTATGTGGAATCTGAAAACCCATTGTCTAGAGTCTAGCGCTTGCTATTGTTAGCATAGTTAGTAAATCTATTCTTTAGAATGTACTGAAACCATGACTAATACATCGCTATTTAGTCTACCTATAAAGGTCTAAGTCAATCGTGAGACGATGGAAAGTTACGGAAATGGAATTGATCTTGCTTAGACTTTCACAATCTTTAAGATCTGTAGACACTTCCTGATTCTAATACAGATCTTTTAAAGCTTCCTATTGAAAATATGCATTTCATTTGTAAGTTAAGCCATGTGAAAGGCCAAAAATAGAATGATCTGTCTGTCAGTCAGTTGAAGCATAGATTCGTACCAGGGACTGAAAGCGGTTAAGGTATAACGGTACGGTACCGGTATAAAATAAGTGTACCGAAATTAAAGCTATACCGGTATTTAACCTTTATGCGATAACGGTACCGAAAAACTTAGATTTGACCGTTGCGAGACGTAAAGCTAGGAGTGTGCGGGGTGTGGTGCGAGGGGCCCCACTCCGAGGCGTGGAGCAGCGGCAAGCGAAAAACGCGCGCCTGTGTACCTGTGTAACTATATAATAGTCGTGTAACTATTAACTATGAGGCGGAAACGTAAAAATGCAGTATATGGATTGAGATATAAGTACTAATGAGTACATGCGTTTTTTTCATTTTCCAAGGAAAGTAATGTTTCTACATATTTAGTAACTGGATGCTTAGCTATAATAAAATAAGTATTGTACCCATTCATTGTAAACTTTGACCGGTCAGTGAGTATAGATGCAATATAGGTACTACTTATACAACCTATACCCTAAATGTAATTGGTAGGTATGTACATAATTATCTATCTTGTAGCTATAAGATACCTAACTATAACATTTATCTTATTATTCGGTACGTACCTATCTAAACTTTCGGATATCCTAGGTAGGTGTGTACCTAAGAACATCGTAATGTTTGTTTACTTATATTACATACCTACATAAAACCAGTCATTGGGTATCGTTCGTTAGGGTAGGTACTTACCTAAACTTTGATTATTTACTAGGTATATATAATATTATGTTCATAAGATGAATAGGATTAGGTACCTACCTTGGAATTTTAACTACAATTATTATATAATACAAATTATACAAGCCCAAACACAAGGTAGTTACTATAAACCGTTGATGAGTTCCCTTAACAATTACAGTTCTTCATCATCAGACCGTCAATGATTAGTCCTACTCCATCTAGGTGTAAAGTTCTCATCAATACAAATCAATCAAGCCCAAACACAAGGTAGTTAATATAAACCGTTGAGGAGTTCCTTTGACTGTCTGTCGGCTCCATCATCAGGTCGACTCCAGACCCTTTTCAAATTGTACATACATACTTACATAACTTCACGCCTGTCTCCCACGGTGGGTTTTTTCATCACCTATCATTACCTGACATTCTGTTATCACCTCATTTCTTTCTATCACCAACACTTTCGTCTTGTTCACATTTACTTTCATACCTTTCCTTTCAAATGCATCATTCATAGCAGTGATCATTTGTTGTAATTCTTGGGCCGACGAGGCAACAAGCACTGGTCGTCGGCATACAACAATGTTTTAATCACTGTGTCATTCATCCTTAATCCAGACTCTCCTACTTTCAGGTCGTTCAAACAGCTGTCCATAAATAGGTTGAACAGCCAAAGAGATGCTACACAGCCTTGCCTAACAACTCGATTAATTTTAAACCACTCTGTGTAGTCCCCATTTATTCAGACAACGGCACTCGAGTCCTTATATAAGGATTTAAGTACCCGAATCAGGTGGCTATCCACCCCATACATGGACAGAGTTGACCACAATTCATCCCTCACCACTCTGTCATAAGCCTTTTCTAGGTCTATAAAGGCACAAAATACCTTTTGGTGCTTTGATAACACTTTCTCTGAAATGAACCGTAACGAAAAGACTTGATCCGTACATTTCTTGATCCCATTCCCTTTCGAAATCCCGCTTGCACATCCCAGATTTTACGCTCAGTTACATCCATCACTCTTTCGATCAATACCTTGGCATACAACTTTCCTACTACGCTTAGGAGGCTTATACCGCGATAATTTTTGCACTCCTGCTGTGATCCTTTTCCTTTATACAGTGGCACAATTACGGCCTTGGCCCAGACTCCAGGGACACGACCGCACCGCCAATACTTATTAAAAATTAGATACACCAGGCTTGCAATTACACCTCCACCCTCTGTTAGCATTTCAGTAGTTATCCTATCACATCCCGCTGCTTTACCTACTTTCAAACTCTTAATGGCACTCACAATTTCATCCATATTTATTTCTCCCACATTAGCACTTTCATTTTCATCGTTTACTTCCTCTTCTTTCAAATCACTCCTTTCAAATAAATTCTCGAAGTATTCCTTCCACTGCTTTAAAACATCCTTACTTTCTTCAATGACACTCATTTATATCCCTTATCGTACTTACTTTCGAGTCCCCCACTTTGCCTCTGGCCTTTCTAACTAAATGCCAGAATAGTTTAGCGTTGGCTCGAAAGTTCCGCGAAAAATTCCTTTCAAACTTTTCCTTGCATTCATTTTTCTTCTTGTTAACTACCGCTTTTGCTCTCTTTTTGAGACTAATGTACTTTTCTATCATACTTTCTAGCACTCTTCTATTTGCCTTTGAGGCTAATAAGTCGAGCCATGCTTTCTTCTTTTGCTCTATCACCTCTTTTACTTCATCATCCCACCATTCATTCCTCTTGCTTCCAGTGTTATTTTTCTTGCTTACCCCACATACTTGAGTAGCTACTGCGATCACTCCATCCTTAAATTCCTTCCAAAATTCTTCTATATTCCTTTCGTAACCTTTCATTAGCTCCCTAAACCTTTCATTTAATAGTTTCCTGTACTGGTCCCTAGCTGCCTCTTCTCTCAACCGTTCAACTCTCACTCTCTCGGTTCCAAGCAACCTTACCCGTGGCCGATGTCTCCACTTCATTGCCAGTCCAGCTATTCTAGTAATTACTAGGAAGTGGTCGCTTCCGACATTCGTGCCACGGTAAACCCTTGTATCCTTCAGTTTTGTCCTCAGGCGTTCATCAACAATCACAAAATCAATCGTACTTCTTTCTGTATGCCTCTGCCATGTATACATATGTATCTTCTTGTGACCAAATGTTGTGTTGGTCACAAAAAGTTCCTTTTCTACACATATATCCAGAAGACATACACCATTCTCGTTCACTCGTTCGTCTCCAAATCGCCCTAATACTCTATCGTACCCATCGCGTGCCACTCCAACCCATCCATTAAAATCTCCAAGCATAATTATTCTTTCATTCTCTTTACATTCATTAAGAACATCTCTCAAGTTATCCCAGAATACTTCCCTCACCCCAATTGGCTTTGAGATGTCCGGGGCATAAGCACAGACGACAAATAATTTGGTCAAGCCAATTTTAAGGCGGATCTAAAGTATCCTGGGACTCACACATTTATACTCTTTCACACATTCATTCATCCTTTCAGATAGTATGACCCCCACGCCCTGGCTGCCTCTCTGGGAACTTGCAACACCAGACCAGTAAGCAATATATTGGCCATGTGTGGTAGTCATACAACCCTTTCTTTTCGTCTCGCTCATCCCTAACAAATCAATCTTTCTTGTATTCATCATCTCACATATTTCTAACATCTTGCCTTCTACGCCTCCACACACATTCAGTGTAGCAAAAAGGCAATCCTCAGCCCGCTTTCTGCCTACTCACGGGGAGACAAAACGTGACGTGTGGCAGAGCACGTCGCCGTTGGGAATTTGCCAAGATACGACGGGGCTGCCTGAGCAATCATGCTCAGGGAGGGATTCTCCAGCGGAGCTGGTACCCTCCTGGGGTAGAGTTTAAAAATCCTAATTGAATAACAATACACATATTACACGCCCCTACAATTTTCGAAAGTTCTCCTCGGTTTTCCTAGGCTTCTATTATCAGATCCTGACCTCAATGAAAAGGACCATCTCGGGAGTATACCCTTTGAATCAAAACAAGAATTCTGGAAATCCGCGCCCGACGAGGTAGAAATAAAAAAACTTTAGGCATTTAACCAATTTTTGACAAAAATGTCGTGAAAATATATACCTATAAGGTAAAAAAAATATTATAACACACTACGTTATAATAAACTATAGTAATGAGCTATAGTGTAATAACATAAAAAGTGTAATAAAATAGTACGCACGCAGCGTCTGTGTGTGAGCGTGTCTACTGGCGTTAGATCGCCGCCGCGTGCCGTACGCGTCGACAACGAGTAGGTAAGATACTAGTACTTAGTACTCGTTACGTGTCAACTAGAAGTATGTTATTATCAGATTACATAAGTAGTAATAAGTACATATACTTACTTATTTCTGTTATTATAAGTTTTCGTGCGTTATTTGACATTGTTAATAATTGTTATCTCAATTCAACTCAGCACACCATAAAATATTATAACGCGAGCCGCATGTGATTGTGTCCAGAGAACAAGCCAAACTAATGCAATGCGATGAAATAGGATAGATGATCTAGCGCGGTCAATATCTCTCTCATACCTTTATTATTCAGGTTAGGATACTGGTACCGAAATATACCGGTTTTCATTTCATACCCAAAAATAGCGGTACCGAAATTAAATTTCGATACCGAAATTAAGCGGTAACCGTTATTTAACGGTATGACGTCATACCGCAATTTAAAGGTATCGTAATTTTTCGGTTATTCAGTCCCTGATTCGTACTTTCGTAGTAAAGCAGACTTAAAACACCTTTAAACAAAGTATTTACGAGCAGCTATCGAGAATAGGTGAATAAAATTATATGTTCGCTAGATCTAGCCGTACGTCCATAAGAAGCTAATGACTCGGATAAAAATATGGGATACCAATAACGGTTGCGTCATGGTTGCGTGAATTTTGAATCAACATCGTATCTGGCTCGACGAACAATGCATTTAAATCATCTGCGTATTGATATACCGCTTTGCAATAAATTACTATTAAACGAACTGCTTCTATTGTCCGCAAAAACTGAACAAGCTGTTGAAATTTCAAACAGTATATTTCGTTTTCGTCTGATGGAAATAGTAAATAATATCGTCTGTAATGTTTACGTACTAAAATAAATGAAGGTAAATATTCAAAATCGAATCAATTCAGTATACATAACGATGAATGAAAGTATTTTTGTTATACGTAGTTCTCAGTTAAATGCATTATAATTATGTGTTTACAAACGCGCAGTCATTTAACTAATTGTATCATTTTCCGGTTTCCACAATGTGTTTATCGAAAATGAATATTATGTATACGTCAACTAAATAGCAATAACATAACATGACATACTCTATTATGTACGTACCTACAGTCTACTCATACACTGATTAAGTATTTAACTTTCACATTCAACAGCCTTGAACATCGTGAAATCATAAAAAATATTTGCCTACTTAATAGGCATTCGGTAGCTTATGATTCCAAAGAAATTACTCATAATTGCTCATAATAAATGCTAATTTAAATTAGTTACTTACATCAAAGCGTACTGAAGGACCTAAAGCATTAATTATTATACTTATCAAGCAAGGTTTATACATCAGCTGATTACTTCTCCGTTATCGGAGGAGGTTGACACGGTACATTAATATACACTTGGTGCTTGAACCTGTTTTTTATTGATCTACGAGCAAAGTAAAAGGGCTAATGCATTATTAGTGCAACCTGCTAGACACTAGTATTTATTGTGCAATGCCAACAGATTATAGGAAAAGGCACTGATATATTTTCAACATAACTAGTACTTAAAAGAATCGTAGCAATTGGCGTGCAATAGTCTCTGCCTATCCCCATGGGAGACAGGCGTGAAGTTATGTTTATGTAAGTAGTACTTAAGTCACCTGTTGAATCTTAGACGGTTTACGAATGCGATTTATCAGTAAAAGAGTTTTAATTAGGAGAAGGACTTCAAATTATTGAGGGCTAAAACTATGTCTACCTTCCATCAGCAGCGTTTAAATATTGCTGCATTTTGGTTCACCTGGTAATCGAATAAGACGTTTCAAAGCCCTCAAAGGAACCATGTAGAACTGTAGAGCCAGCCAAGTTATTTGGTAAGCAAATAAGATATGAAACCTTTAATTTTTATCGAAGCCATCCTTACTCCTTACTAATATTATAAATCAGAAAGTGAGTTTGTTTGTTTGTTTGTTTGTTCCGCTTTCACGCCGTAACTACTAAACCGAATGCTTTGAATTTTTGCACACGTAAAGTTATAAGTCTGGATTAAATAATAGGGTACTTTTTATCCCGGAAAAATTTGATATTCTAGAGGGAAAACGAAATTATTGGTATAGATGGCGCTGTGTGTATTGGTATATGGCATAGGCTACTTTTTATCCTTTTGTGGCGCGAGCGAAGCCGCGGTTAAAAGCTAGTATCTTTTATAATGGTGATCTTTGAGCTAACCGATTGGTCTGTTTAATATCCAACCAATGCCTTTTTTTTTAAGGGGGGAAAATCATCGAATGACTGCTCCCGCCTGGGTGAGGCGGGAGGGAGTGTCAGACTCTTACTGACTAAAAACCACCCCGTTCCTTCTCCTGCACGTCGAGCCGGAGCCCCGGTTACCCGTTAGGTTCTCCGCGACAATCCAACCAATGCCTACTGTATCTATAATGTTAGGTATTATTTACACTCAACAAAGCAGAATAGTCGCCAAAAGTAAGTCGCTTTTTCCGACTATAAAATCTCTTTATCAATACCTAAATAATATATTAAAAAAAAAAAAATGAAATTTACCTGTGCATTCGCAATGGGCATCGAGGAAGGTGATGACGTCACCCTTGACATGTTTGGCGCCCAGCAGACGTGCTCGGATGAGACCCGACCTGTTCTCAGTGCGGAACAAATGTGTCGGCACCGGCAACGTCTTGATGTAGTCTTCCAACTTCTTTCCTAAGTGTTCTGGTGAATGAAAGAAACAATAAATCATGAGTCATGTACACATACATTTTTTACTTATCTAGTCTTGTCTAAAAGCGATTTGTTGCTACATTTTTTGGTTACGCCCATATAGATAATGGTATGCACTCTTCGTAGTTCAAACTAACAGGAAAAAACACTTCTTATTCCTTGTACATATTATTCCTTGTACATTTTGGCAAATTTAAACAAAATGAAAGTTATGTTCTAAAATTCATATTCTACGCGGACGTAGTCGCGGGCAACAGCTAGTAGTTAATAAACATCTATTCGTAGAAAATAATATAAATCAATTGTCGGTACTATACTTTTTTACAATGAAGAATATTCGATTAACTCCGTTTAAAATACCAAAATACGAAAAATATTTTGCTGGGTTGGCGTTAAAAAGTGGGTCATAATCCACTCCGGATTTTTGTATAAAATTCCAAGAAATCAGGTTCCCGAAGTTAAGGTAACAAAAAGAAAAAAATATTAGTTTGTGGTTTACACATGAATATATTTTCAGAGAATCCTAGTATTTGGAATAGAGCAAATATGTATAAAAACAATATTTATCTTATCTATGTATATAATGTCCCGTTCGCTAATTAAAAACATGAAAAAATGAATGAATGTTTAAATATCGCGACTCACGTATGAAGCTGGAAAATGAACATGGGAAAGAACAAAACAAAATCTACAAACAACACAACACTTCAGCACTTCCGCAAAATATTCCTGGCAGAACGACCAAATCACTGAACTAATATTAGTATTTAAGTGTGGGAGAGCCATGCTTCGGCACGAATGGGCCGGCTCGACCGGAGTGATATCAGGTACGTTGGTCATAGACATCCTTGGATTATCTAGTCGTTAGTCTAGGTAGGGTCAATTAGGACAATCATAGTTCACGACACGACGGAAAAGAGTTAAAATATTTTTAAGTCTAGCAACAAATCAAATAATGTGTGGTTCATTTTGAAATTTTTATGCATACACTTATAACTTTATTATACAATTATACATACAGCAGTCACACGTAGACCTACCACGTACCATTCCATAGTTGAGAAGCAAATTAAATGCCAATGAATTACTATTTAATTCGTTGCGTTTTAGACACGTTTTCACCTAACAGTATGTCATTGAAAAATATAAAAAATAAGCCCACATATTTCCAGATAAGTAACACTAACATAGATACATTAGCGCCTAGTTTTTATGAACAGACAATTTCACTTTCACATTTTCATACGAAATGTATATACCAACCAGTTTAACATCAAGTAATACTGAAAGTGTAGAATCTAGAACTATTTTGCATACTTATCACGTACCTAATGCGATCTATAGACATACAGGTTTTAACCGTCTTTAAAAATTCTAAATTTAATTGGTGTATTAATAGTTTTTCTGTAATAATAATCTGCCTTCAACAAACAAAGGCAAATACTGGGTTAAAATATCATCCACCCGTTGAATTCCATAAGCATTTAATGCCCAAAAGGAGACCAGTTGTTGATCAAGTGAAGCAATAAGTGACGTTGAAAACCTTAGAAAACATCTATTGCCAGTACCTAATGATCAATAATGTAGTTGACATCCTAATTTTTGATCTGATATCACTATTACACACATTAATATGCGAAGAAGCACTTTACATAGGTTATGACATGAGTATATATATATATATATATTGGCCCATGCATAAAATTCGTGGTCGGAAACAAACGTGTCCTTAGCAGTGTAATGAAAGCCCAATATTACATTGCACAGGTAAACCCAAAGCTTGCACGACAGAAGTACTGTGCATGGCTATCATAATATAATACCAATCTATGATTATGACGCGTTTTCTTCCATAAGATTAGAGAATACCGCACTCTCATCTCATCTCATTTCATGACAATCTGCATAGACATAGTGGGTTAAGTACAGTTTTTTATTTGCTTGTACGTGATGAAGGCCGTCTGAATAAGTGAATACAGGCGCCACTTGCAAGGAATACGACGGAAGAGTTCATTATACGGAGGGGAAGAGACGTGTAACTCAGTATATTACAGATTCAATAACAATTCTAATATAATATGAAAAGATTTCTTTATTAGATTTTCATCTTTATAGCAAAGTGATATGGCTGACTTCTTTTAAAGATTTCTTACTTTTCGGTACCCGAACTATCAAGACAAATCGGAATCTAGGAAGTAAATAAAAAAAAACTGCAGTAAAAATTACAAGTTGTTAACACCGGAGCGAAATGTTATTGCTGTTGTACAAACATAAAAATGTAATCGAAATACTGGAACGTAACAAGATTGCTCACTTTGCATATAATCCTTATAAAAGAGAAGTAAAAAAATGGCGATTTGATCTTCAAGATATTATGAAAATTGATTTATAAAGCTGTGTCTACATCGATCTTTTGGTCGCGACGCATTGCACTGACGCTCAGTTGTGGAGTAAAGAATGTAAATACTCGTTTTTGCGTGTTCAATGACTAATCAAGTTGTCTGCACGAAGATTCCCCTCACGAACGGCTGTGACGTTACCATTTATTCAAAGTACATTTTCCTTTAAACTTCATCAATGACACAAAATAGTGCCTACATTAGAATACAATAAGGAAAATGAAGGATTTTGTCGTATGATCATTAAAATTAAAGATAAAGAACACACAACTAATACAAAATCCTTTTACATTGAAACAGTTACTATAATTGAAATTCTACAAAAAAAATAGGTCAGACTATCTAACTTAATTGGCATGTATACCTACACAAATCTACAAGACTACAACTAAAGTACCTGTTGTCGTAGGTCTGTGAATAAAACAGATGAATAATGCATACAACAAAGCTAAGTTAATGTAAATCTCAAAACTTGAACACTACAAAAGAGGAGAGAACTAAATAATTTCGCGAGCTCGTTTGCAATGCAACTACGAACTCTGGCTAAATGCAGATTTAGGGCAAGACTGAACTGTTTAAAACAACATAGATGCGACAGGAAGAACAGAACAGAAATAATGTCATTAGTTACACAAACTGAGAGAAAATAGCTTTTCTACACTTTCCACGAAGAAAATATGTTTTTGTAACTACGACTAAATATGGCAGTTCTTTGTGATGTTTTTATAATAACTATCGTGAGACATACTAAATTAACTAAAAATCAGTAGGTTGCGCACATCGTCGCGACCGCGCACGCTGCTCATGAGGAAGAACCCCTCTGTGGTTCGAAACCAGTAGAGCTTTTCTCAGTATATTCACGTGAGTAAACCGCGATTTTTAGTTAATTTATTTAGTTAAGTTCTTTGTGACACCAGCTTTAGAGGCATTCAAGGCGAACGTGAACTTTATTCATTCATATTAATCTACATAATATTTATTCAATAAGCATAGCGAAGGAACCAGGCTGGCGGTGTCAAGTCAAGTGAGCCATTACTAATGTTCAACATCAAAAATACTTCACAAAAAACGTATTACTCATTCAACATACGTAGGTACATAAATAAAAAAAGATATTATTTTATTTCTGTAGCCGACGTGGATGACCACGACATTTCCGACAAACGGCAAATGTAATTGAAAGTAGATAAGATATTCTATCGTACCTATGATCGCTTTTATTTAATTCGGGACCTTTCTTATCACTGCTACGATCACATCAAAATAAATATGATCATTTAGGAAATCTTCGCTGAAAACTTAAATGACCTAATCATAATGTAACAGGCGGAAAAATGTTTTATTACAAATACCTATAGATACCATAATGGAAGGTAAATAACCGACATGTTATACTGTGAAATGGTAAATGGAAATGTTAAATGTAAAGTATTTTCTTTATCGTTCAAAGGATCGTAATGACTCTCGCACTTCGCATTTCAAAAGTACAACACACGAGTAGATTGTTACGCGGCACCAGTTTTATTTAATTTGTACTGCATTGTTACTGTTTCTTTACACTTTTACTTTACTTGTCGTATTTGCATAACACATAAAATAAAATTAAAGACGTCCTGTTAAATTGAAGCTTGATAAAGGTATATACATATATAATTACGAACTATTCACACGATAAAGTTTAAAAGGTGACGATGAATCGTGAATGACATTCACGAAATTAACCGCATGTAAAAAAATCTTCTAAGAAACCAATTACGTGTAGATGTGTTGTAATCATTCGATGATTATAATGTGTGCGAAGTGTCCACTCACCCTTTTCACTGGCGTCATCAACGAGTATGATCTCCTTGAGAAGTGGCCGCGGGGATCGGTTGATTGTACTCCATATCGTACGAATGAGTGTCGTCCAGGCCTCATTGTGGAATACTATCACCACGCTCGTCGTGGGCAGCAGGGTAGGGTAGGATTTATCTCTGCATCTGGTGACAAAAAAATTGTGTTACAATAAAATTATGACGATTGTTATACGTGGTTGAACTTCCCACGTGTAATTGGAGATAACATTTACTGCAATATCATTTTTTTCTTTGTAACGTTTGTAAACTTAAAAATGCATTATCTAAAATTCTAAATGCTTCTTGGGACAACAATACAAAATGTAATACCAGATTTAACCTTCCAGATCAAATGTTATAAACTTTTAGCACAGATCGTAAGACGAAGCTGAAAACGTTAAAACGAAATAAACAATGATAATAAAACGTCGTCTTCAAACAACCATTCTCTATTAAAAGTGACAGGTTTAATAACTCTTGGGAATAAATAAAAACAATCACAGCAAACCATAAACTTTGTAAGTCAAGTTGCACACTACGGATTGTAATATTATAGAAAGCACAATAAGTGTCGTGTCTTTTAAATAGTGGTGAATCTTTACACTTATTTATGCTTACTTTCTTTTGTAACAAGCATAAGCCAATGTTTAGAATAAACGCCATATAATAATATACAAATACATATTTTCGATCAAATGTTTGTAACAGTTAAGCGAGCACTTTGACCTAAAGTTTGATAAATAGGACAGGCTTTCAAGTTTACCGTACAAATTAACATAATGAGAACTATTTATAGGTGACTTAGCGATGGTCAACGCTCTCGAAAACAGGACATTACGGTCACATACGAAACTTATTAAGCTATTACAGTAATGTGTTCAACTTCAAGTCGCGTCATGGACGGCTATTTAAGTATTTGCTCTGTAAATTCAAAAGTAAACAGTTTTACGCGGCGCTCGCAATGTCGAGTTCTATCGATATAATAGTATCAATATAGCGGTAAAATACAGAGATGGGTTCCGCAGTTAGTATGCGCAACCATTTTGTGCCACAAAGCGCGACGCGGACATCTTTAACTCATCGCGTGTAGGACCCCTCACTTTTCCAAGGTCGACGCAGGCGCATTAGGAAACTCCATTGATTAGTAATCGTTGATTTTGTCGAAGACGCGTCGTCTGTTGCATTTACATCAAATTATATGTTAGCGCAACATTGTTTGCTAATGTTCAAAACGCTCTTCGTGTCCGGAGACTAATTTACGTACCAACTTATTTAGAGAAGTTACTGTAAAGTATGCCGTTTTTAGAGTATACCAACAGAAGTTTCTTAGACAGAATGTAACGATATTGTGCAAATTTTAGACTACGTTAACGTTATAGAGTATCCTTTAAATATCACATCACCATCTTAGTTTGTTTAAGAAAATGAATTGGAATACCAAAAATATTTAAGAAAAGCCACGAAAATTAGAAGAGAAAGAGGGCGCTTGTTTTCTCAGATCGTAGTGTATCTGTATAGCCACGTGCTGCGTACGAATTTAGATTCACGACTCCATGTCATGCCATGTCAAATGTCAATGTAACCCGCAGTAAACTGAGATTAAATAACACGGCAGTTGAATAAATCGCACAATTGTTCTCCATTCCGTGACTAATATGTGTATCAAAATTTTATCGCACTTTCTACATCATATGTGATGTTAAATTACCGAATTTGTTATACTTTGAAACCACTTATTGCTTTTGCATATTAATGGACTGTTAATAATAACATAGGTATATGCCACATTGTTTTCTTGTTGTTTCTATGTGAATTACTTATACTCGGCTGTAAATAGGTACGTTGTGAATGTTTCCACATGGTTTACAAGTATAGTGAGCGTCATTTATCACTCCATCAAACGCACGCACTGCTATCTTTTTTTGTAAAAGCGAAACCGTGTAGATAGGTGATATACTGTATAATAAATAAATTGTTGGGCTGCCACATTAGTCTATTGATCACAAGCGGGGCTATTGTTATTGAACACAAGTCCAGGATGCTACAACATGGGACTACAAATATACCGCTATCTAAAAATTGACAATATTGGGCTCGCCTCTATTGCTTTTATCGTAACACTGGGGAAGTGTGTGTCTCGGACAAAAACACCTTGAAGAACTAACAAGCGTGATACCTTGTTACGATTGTGTTAAAATACGCCATTTATTGTCTTGTCTTAGCGGGTGTATTGAGTATGTGCCACGTCTGTCTATAGTCCATAGGTATACTTGTACAAGTATCTAGTCTTGATTTGTTATTGCAATCGAACCGTTTGTTAATAAAAGCTTGCTTATGAAGTGGAAGCCAGACTATACTAGCAATATTAGAGAATTCATACAAACGTATTTCTTAGAATCTTCTTTGATGTTTCATATTTCTTCAGCTATAGGTATATTTAACTGCAATACTAAACTTAGAAAATTGCGCAAACGTAGATTCAAGTGTTCAAATTGTTGTGTTCTCCTTATTTATTTTTAAATATTGATATCGAATTCAAATAATAACTGAAGCAAATTGACGCCAGTATTGACTATGTTTGGGTATTTGACTTTAAATAACAATTTTATATAAACCTTTCACAGACTATAATAAAAAAGAGTTTGGTAATGTTTCACACAAATCATAAGTCTATAAAAAGCGCATGAGTGCCTCCTTATCGATATAAAGAAATAAAGTAAGGTACTGAAAACTGATATAAAAATATAGATACGATCAGAAACATACAATACTAATTGACTTAGATTAGATCGTCTATCTTATTTCTAGTAATTAACCACTGACATATTATAAATACGAAATGATCGGACTCAAATAATACACTAAAATTATACCGTTTGTTGTTTTGCGTAAAATTTACAGTTAAATCGATTCGAACACTACATAAAAGCTGTATATTTTAAGCCGACTAAGCAATATTAAATCAAGGACGTTGAAAAAAGGAGGACGTAGTCTCTTGAAACAACGACTGTGGCACCTAGTTACTATACCTCTAGACTTACACGCAGCACACACACACATTGACACGACGGACATCTGTCATTTTCTAAAGTCTAGTAACGTGGTAACACACGCACATATAAATAAACCACTGACAATATGTTGCTTCAATATTTTTAAGTAACGTTACGTCCGCCCTTCCTTCCGTCCTTTTCAGCGTACTTGTATTAAAATTTAATAGAACGAACGTTAGGATAAAAAGTATGAATTTATTTATTAAATAATTTACGAAAAATTTGACATTATAATTTGTGTACTGGGCTTATAACGATAAACATAATGAATATCATAATATTACATTTTGATCAAAGACCCAACCAGTTTTAATGAGTTGATTAATTATTGGAAGGTCTAAGGTTATCAGATTTATGTTATTTAACAATCAAATAAGGAAAGCGAGTTTTTGACACTATATAATTCATGCGAAATTTGATATTTTTCTCACGATTCTTGTGATTTTGAATACTGGGATTTCAACTTTATATATAAAAACAAGTCACAAACATTTTAAGAGAAAAGTGACTTCCCTAAAGATTTTTATTAATTGTACATACTATAAAAGAAGCCCCCTGCCACGTCTATCCTCTGTCTGTATAAACTATAAAGGCAATAAACTCAAAAACTACAGGACGTTATATGGTATTCACCAATAGATGATAGAGTGTCTCCTCATCCTGAGGGATGTTATGGTTTTAAATAAGCGGGCGGAAAGTCATATAAGTATATAAATAAACATATAAAGGAAGAAAGGACTTACTTCTCAAACCTGACGTCTGTCAAAGACCTGTTGACTGAAATCATGTCACTGGCTAACAGATTGAACTGGTTCTCTTGGAATTTGTCCAACATCAGCTTCTCTTGTTCTATAGGAATATTTACTGCCTTACCTGAAAATAAAATTCTATTAATATACTATAATGGGATGCGAAGAGGACAGATATATGGTTGTTGACGTTGATATTTTGAAAACTTATTATTTTACTACTGAAGAAATAGTATCATGGTAAAAATTAAACTCGTCCATATGGTTTCGCGTACACACGAAATTAGTCGAGAATTGGTCGAAAATAAAATGTTTTATTAGTTTTTATTAACTCTATTTTTATAGAGTTATCTAAAGCATAAATCACAACACTGAATAGTAGACTAGTGAACAAATAAGGTCAAAGCGTCTTTGCGAAATTGTCACGAAAACCGGCTTTGGAGGTAACGAAAAATGTTATTCTCTAAAGACTTGTTGGGGTCAAAGATCTATTATATAAACGGTCTAGTTTATAGACAGTAATCTTAGTACAAAGCGTAGACGATCCCAGATCTGATTCCAGCTAGAAAGAAACATCAGAGATTTTAAATTTGCGAATTTTTTTCTAGTGGCCATTGTATGGGAATATGGAGATGGGACTGACAGCAGAAATGTTTTTAAAGGCTCTATTGAAGTTCAATCAATGTGTGATCTTGCGTTAAAACCCTTGTTTGTGAAGTTTAGTAATAAAATAAGAGTCTCTCCTTTTTATGTCTTATTTTTCTTTTGTACTCCATGGCACACTCCTACCCTCTGAAATATTATTTCCGAATATTGCCTTTGACACAAATGGAAATGATGTCTGTTACATTATGCAGAGTGCATCTCTAGAATTTGGAATGAATTTGTATGCATCTAACAGTTAGACTCACTTCAAATGTTTCTAATTAACATCAATAATATACTTTCTCTTTTTCTAGATTTCTCAGAAAAGACACATCGAAAATGAGATCTTATTATATGAAATCCCACAATTTTATAGGTTTATTTATTTTAAAAGTTCAAAGTGGATTCCAAGGATAAAGTACTGAGTTTAATTTTATCTACAGTTCGCCCCTACTAATTTCTGGACTGAATGATAGACATTAATGAATTTAACATAAGTTCGGGAAATAAAGGCGTGATGTTTTCTAAATTAAATAAATTATGTTCTATTGGAAGCGTCACACGCAACGTACTTTATTGACGCGGGTATCAATAAATTGGTTCAATTAACAAAAGCTATTTACTAAAATATTGTTACATTAAAACTATCAGAGTACTATCACTCTTTTATTTTATTATTAACTGCCTGCAGCTAAATAAACTAAGTATGTTTATTATAATCTACAGCTTTATTATTCTTACACTAATTGTTTGAATGATTGTAGTGTTCGATACGTGAATGAAAAAACAACATTAACTATATAAGTTTTTAAACAAACTGGTCGAAAACAATAAATCGTGTTTTTACTTTGCTACACGGGCTATTGAACACAAGCCAAGCACGAGTTCTGCATGCAAAGAAGGTTCGCTAACATAAAAAAATAAAACAATAGACATTATATTTAGTTTTTTTACACAGACAGTCAAAGGAGTCTTTATCTTTTAGTCATATCTGCGCTATGAATAGAAAGTAATGGTCGCATACAAATAGGTAGCTATCATCAAAACTACCAGTACCATTACTAAATTGAAAGTAAAATAAAACTAGCTTTTGCAGGTTTAGGTGGTTGTAAAACTATTTTACCACCCTAAGGCTCTACGTCACCTCTGTAAGTACGTTATAAAATGGTCTGCCGTTGCTTATAAAAGTTATGTATATGACGCCATGCTAATGATTAATTAGAAATAGGTAAGATTTTATTAAGTGTATCTATTCAGATAAATAAAATTGGAGTGTCTGTTTGTTCTGTATCTTTGGAATGACTGGATCGATTTTGCAATTTTTATTGGTAGGTAGCTACTAAGGAGTAACAAAAGCTACTTTTATTTAGGAAAATAAAATTGTAAGTCTGAAAAAAAATTACGGACAGCTACTGCTAAATCTATGTCTATCTCTATACTAATATAAAGCTGAAGTAGTTCTGAAAGCCGAAAGCGCTAATCTCCAGAACTACTGGTCCGATATGAATAGTTAATTGTTTTTGTGTTGGATGGTGCAATTATCGAGGAAAGCAAGGCTATAAAACATCCCGCTATGACCAATAGGAGCCGAGCAGCTTATGATACCGCACAGGAGAAGCATTTTAAAGAGGGCGTGTTCAAACAACATATTAAATATAGTAGAATGATTAAAAATAGAAGTCTGTGACAAATAAATGCTTTTTACAAGTTTTCTCACGAGATTGCAATGAAAGAGGTTATGGTCAAACCATGAAGTTTACTTTGCTTGCAATTCTTTTTCCCCACTATAGCATCACACACATTACATTACGATGTACCTATGGTTGGTGGCAATAAAGCCTACGGCCCACTTGACTGATGGTAAGCGGTCAGCCAAGCTCAAGTAATTATTGGGATTGCAACACCAAAGGTATCGGTAAGTGTGTTGCGTACCATGTAGGAAACTGTGTAATAGCTTTTACGTACACAATAATATCCTCAGGAAAGCCCATCAAAAAAGGCAATATGATTGATAGTCCTGTTTAAAGGAAATTTATAGTCTAGCAACACCATGTTACAAGATCGGAAGTCGCGATTTATTTCGCGAAGGAGAACAAGTACCTTATAAGTACAGAACAACCTTAAAAAACTGTTATAATGGAGGGCCATTGAGTCATTTGAAAGGTGTTTTCCCTAATACCAATACAAACAAGAGCATTAATTTATTATCCATTTAGAATATATTAACATGTTATAACTGTTTACTTTTTTTAGCTAATATTTATAACTGTTTCTATTGACTTGGTAATAAAACTGCCTACCTTGAACCTTGTGTCTGCTAGTTTTTATAGTTCAGAACACCAAGTTAATGTAAACTTTATTGTTATGTAAATAGGGTTCAAATATGAATAGAGCAAAAAATGTGTCAGTTGAATTTGACCCAATATATTCAAAAGGATAATTTTCAAATTAAGAACTATTGAGTGTATGTAGATGTGTCGCTTTTAAATATTGTTCTTATGTTTTCGGTTTGTGTTCAGTAATTTAAACTTTAAAGAGACTACAATAGAGTTTATCTCAGTCTATATTATGATAATAATCAAGAGGATAAATAATGGAAGAAAATATTTTTACAATAAACATGTAATCACAAATTAAATTAGTACAGATAAGTCACAGATCCTTTTAAACAGTTTATAATCTTTTATCAAAATGTAGTTTTTAAAATGTGTATGTTCCACTTCATATATTTTTATCAGATAACATAAAATTAGTACTTGCATCATGAGACATACAGTAGGCTTGTGTAGTTCGCGAACGAACTAGTTCAAAAGAGCGCTCCCACATTCAAAATATGCGAACTAGTTCACGTCATTCCCAACTCCTTAGTTCCTTAGTTCGTATTTCAAAGTACATTCTACAAGGATTGTGAAGTCGTTTATATGTATAGTCTATGGTGAAGACCGAACTAAAAAATGCGATAACATTATGATCTCACTTGAAAAGTCATGAGCTGAGTCGGGAGCTAACGAACTAGGGAGCGATTTGGCTGCCAGTGCCTTCCTAGTTCCTATCCGATTCATTCCAATTCCAAATCCAACTGGGAGTCGGGAGCTGACGAACTAGGGAGCGATTTGGCTGCCAGTGCGTTCCTAGTTCCTATACGATTCATTCCAATTCCAACTCCAACTGCGAGTCGGGAGCTGACGAACTAAAAGAGCGAACTAGTTCGTTTAGGAGCGGCGAACTAATCTGAGTGATCTTAGTCGCGAACTATTAAGCACAAGACTAACATACAGTGTATACCTTTATAGCTTGTCCTATCGTTATAGAATATTGATATTTTTTCATTAATATTCTACTAACTATTAGTATGATTGTACGGGTAAAGTATGTATATATTGCGAAATTTAGTTCCAAATAAATGAATATAACTTAATTATAAAATATTTAAGAAAAATTACATACCCATTTCTCCAGGTAATCCGTCTTGTTCTGGTTTAACAAATGGTGCTTCGTCCCACCTCTTAAGCCTGGACTTTGGGTACGGAGACAGCATAATACCATCTTCTCCAATTACTTCTTCAACAGCATTCGCTTCTAAGTTTGTGTCATCATTATCAATCTGATTTCCTTGTAATGCAGCTGCAATTGCAGCCTTTTTGCCCCGAAACTCTTCTTTATTATTAACCTATAGATAATTTGTTTTAAGGTAAATGAAGGAGAAAATAATGGGAAAGAGGTTTTATTACATTCCAATTGCTTAAAAAACTGGTGAAGTTAAAATTGAGTATATTATGCATAGGAAGTTATCCAATAAGTTTAGCAGGTCTGTAATTACGTATCCTACTAGTCCTATTAGTCTAACTAGTATAATAAATGTGAAAGATAGTAAGTTTGTATGTTGCTCCTCCATGTAAAAATGTCAGGATGAACTTTGGAACAAGGTTAGGTTGTGGTCTGAAATAAGACATTGGCTACTTTTCATCCCACGGGAATGAGGATGAAGCTGCTGTCAGAAGCTAGTTTATAAATAAATTCTTTGTTCAAAATAAATTTCTCATGATGATTCATGTAAGACACAATGCAGGCTTGGGATTCATAATTATTATTTTCATTGAGAAAACTGCTATAATGAATGAGTAAGTTATTAATGGAAATAAATAATGGTTTTTAAGTAATAACGAAACTTTGAATGTCAGTCTATCCATAAATATTAGTTAAGGAGTAGTTGTTGTTAGTGTTGTTGTAGAAGAATACCCTAACATTTTTGACAAACCAGAACCAAATAAAGCCTGATTTATTATTATTAAGATACTTAGATAAATATTTAAAGCAGTAGCAGCATAATCAATATTATCATTTAATTGGAACTTGATTGAATTACTTTCTTATTAGAATTGAATACTTTGTACAATCAAAATTATATAGCAACACAGCTCAATAATCTTTGATTTGGTGGTCAAGTGGTGGAATTAGGAACAATTAGACTCCCTTTCACTGTTAACATTCCCTTGCTAAGTGTTCACATGGCAATCAACAGACTTTCTGTCACCCACAAAATATGTAAAATAATCTAAGTTATAGAACTAGAGTATAACTGTACTCTGATTAGCATATTTATTTTAATTGAGTAAAGAATGTGTAAACAAAATCATGTTTACAATCCTGTCAGGTCCAGACCTTGAACTTTACAAGCCACAAAAAGTTTATAAAACCCACCTGAATGACATTATCACTGGCTCCTTTTTTGCTGCAGTCCCAGCCATCACCGAAGCAGTCGGAGTACATGGCCAGGAGTACTACGTCCACCAGCAGCCATGCCAGCGAAGTGAGCAATATTATCCGGCATGTGTGTATCCGAATTTTACTCCTGAACATTTTAACTGGTCAAGTTCGTACGCACTCGAGTTCACTGCCTCATGACAACACGGCCACACGAATGTCACGTTATCTTCCCGACCTGCAACACACGCGAATTTTAAGCAAACAAAGCAAAACTAACAACGAACATTACTCGATTTAAACTTTGACACGACCTAAATTAAGACCATTAGTAGCTATAAAACATTGTCCTTTACACCTAGTTAAATTTAATTACAGAGACTTATAATATAATCACAATTTCACAGTAAGTAGGTTTCCGGATCTAAATCGTGAATACTGCACCAATTACTTCACAAACTTTTAAGACAATTTCTGTATTAGCAACGGTACAAAACTATTTATCCCAACAAAAGCGAACTCAGGGACTAATAAATAAAATAATACCGTTTTATTTTCTGTACAATCTAAAATCTTCGAAATACAACGACAGTGAATGTTGGCCCGCGGTCGACATTCAACTCGTCGACGACAATAAATTCCATCGACAATCGCCAATCGCTACAAGCCAAAATGTATACGTCAAACTTTCTACCGTGTCAAATCGTAGATTTTAGGGTTGCCATAAACTAAAACAGTGAAGCAAATGGAATCGACTATAATCGTGTAGTCATTTTTAGTCTGTTTTCTTTAGTTTTTCGTCGAAAGTAGACAGATATTTTGAACCAAACAGAATGAATTATGTACTTAATAAATTATTTTTAAAAGATTTTTCATTAGTATTACCGATTCAAAAAATAACATGCACCATGCACAACCATAGATGAATAATAGTGCACAACACTTCAATAAATGTCAAAAATGGCAAAGCGTTCAGTGACAATGACAAGTCCGTGACAGTTGTCATTGTCAGTGGCACTTATTGAAAATTGTTATCATTTTATTATTTGTATCAACTGGCTTGCAGTAGTAGTAAGTTCAGTTATCCATTATCAAAGAAACACTGTGTACATATTTTCGATAATTTATATCTCCGAATGTAGTACGGACTTTAAGAGAAATGAGATTTTTTGTAAGTTAATTGTATTGTGAATTATACAAAATACATTTTATTAACCGCTGATCTACTAAGATTTCATCTGAATAAATAGAAAAAGTTACGGTTTTACAAGAAGCACTTTCACAGAATAAGCCAATTATCGTTGTAGCTAGATACGGTATGACAAAATGAATTTGCTTATCAAAAACCCGTGCAATACCGAAGAGAAAGAGAACTGCCTATAACAACATCTGGAACTTCACAAAGTGTTCGCTGCGCTTCGATAATAAATAGGCAAGTTTTCATTTTCACCCATAAATACGTGTCATTTCATACATATCAGAATAATTTGATTTATCATATAATTATGAACAGAAACAAGACCAATTCTAGGATGGCGCGAACCACCGAAAGCGATCCTGAAACAAAGACTGCTAATGCATACAGGCTTATCGCAAACGAAGAAAAGCCCCCTGACATAAAATATGAGAAGGAAACATCATGGGTTGCTGGAGTTCAAATGTTTGTATCATTCCTATTGGCTGGCTTTGGCATGGTGGCAGCTAGCCTCCTACTAGATGTTGTGCAGCACTGGGAAGTGTTCACCAAAGTGTCTGAAGTATATATTTTAGTGCCAGCCCTCCTGGGGTTAAAAGGTAATCTGGAAATGACATTAGCATCTCGACTGTCAACTCATGCCCATTTGGGTCACCTGGACACTAGCTTGGGCTCCCTGGTTGTGGGTAACTTGTGTTTAATACAGTGTCAGGCAGTGCTGGTGGGGTTCCTGGCAGCCATGGCTGCTGTAGCAATGGGCTGGATTCCAGAAGGACAGTTTGACATCCATCATGCATCATTACTGTGTGCGTCTAGTGTGTTAACAGCATCATCTGCCAGTTTTGTACTTGGTTTGATCATGATAGGGGTGATAGTGGTATCAAAAAAGATGAACATAAATCCTGACAACATTGCCACACCAATAGCAGCCAGCCTTGGAGATTTGACAACCTTGGCACTGTTATCTTGGATAGCATCACTACTGTATAAATCTATTGGCACAAGTATTATACTACCATCTATTATTATCACTATTGGCGCGCTGCTTGTGCCCGTGTGTGGTTATATTGCTTGGAGCAATAAATTTACAAGGCAAGCACTGGATGAAGGCTGGGTGCCTGTTGTGTCTGCCATGGTAATAAGCAGTGCTGGAGGATTAATACTGGACCACACTGTGTCAGTGTACACAGGTATTGCTGTCTACCAGCTAGTTATCAATGGCATAGGTGGGAACATGGTGGCAGTACATGCTTCTAGATTGTCTACTCAACTACATACAGGTCAAAAAGAAGGCTCTGTTTTAGGAAGCACCACTAAACTTCTTCTGGTTATGGTGATACCGGGGCAGCTGATATTTATCTACACAATAGGATATTTGAGAGCAGGTCACACATCAACAACCCCCACTTTCATATTAATTTATATGTCTGCTGCATTGTTACAAGTGTTTTTATTGCTAACCATTAGTCATTACATGGTTGCATGGATGTGGAAGATGGGAATGGACCCTGACAACTCAGCAATACCTTATCTTACAGCATTAGGTGACTTGCTGGGTACTGCACTCCTGGGTGTGGCATTCAGCATACTGTATGCAATAGGTGATAAGGACAGTGATTTAGGAGACTAAAATAAATCTCATTCTTGTATATTGTTCTGCTTGTACTGCTCAAAATTATACCTAAATGAAAATCAGATTTTCTAAAGCAATGTTTATAAATAAGTGATACTGTTCTAAACATGTATTAATTTTAGCAGTATTACTGTATTTTGTGCCATACTTTTTATATTTTCTTTTTCTTGACTAGTGGCACATCTAATTCATTCACATGAACATGGATGCAGTATCAGTAAACAGTAATCTATTTATTTCTAATTTTCCTGCCTATACAAGTTCTGTAAAATTATTTTACTTATTCCTAATTATTTTACTTTGTAATACTTTAAATGTATTATTAATTAGTAATGTACTTACAAATAAAATACTTACGCAAAGCCAATGTACATAAATGAAGACTTAAAAAATATAATTCTAATTGGTGCTACTAAGTAATATGAAATGTTTTTGAAATGAGAATATTTTTTATAAGTACATAAGATAGTTTAATTTTGTGATTTTAACTAAATAAACTCGTTGATTTTTATGTTTGTTTTATCTTAACACCTGGCTTATCTTTGTATTACTATTAATATAAAAGATAGACGTGACGACTCGCAACTATACCTACTACTGATACAAATAATTGAATCGTCCATTAACATTACAATATTGTAGATACATAAATTAGCATTTAATTTATTACCCAATTAACTGTGTCACATCATTAAGAATTTTATTTTTACTACAAAACCGTTTTAATTACATCAATAGTACTACCTGCCGCTATTATTAGATTATATTAATTAATATTATATATATAAATATATATATATAAATATTAATAGATATTATAGATTATACTTTTGTTCAAACAACTAGGACTTATTTCAGATATTGGATATAGTAGATTTCAGTTTTAGTATTTTGATATTTTCTTTTACAAAATATTGGGGACCTTGCCTGGGTAAGACGGAAGTCTGACAAGACAGTACTACTGAAATAACTTTTATACATTGGATAGCTTCAAACGTTATAGGTATGTAGCCAAAATATTTTTCAATCTGAACCTTTATCTAGATTGACGTACCTACCTAATCTTGATCCACTTCTAACACAGGTACGCGTAGATAACAATGGCTACCTATTTACCTGCTGACTGAAACAACTGAACATCTTTGTTTTTATTCGCAACCTATCCACCCTAATATTATAAAGAGGAAATGTTTTGTTTTGTTTGGTTGTTATGAATAGTTTAGAATAGTTTTTATCACTGAAATCTTACGGGGCGGGTACTGTACGGGTAAAGCCCCTGTGAGATGAAACCACAAAATTAAATTCATTTAGCAATAAATATAACTTAGTTACTGATACGATTACACCTATACCTTGGAAAATACATAAACCCAAAATTTATTTTGTCAGAAGTCATTATTCTACGCACGCAGACGAAGTTGAGGACAACAGCTATAATAAAGCTATAAGTAATAACTTAGTAATAAATAATGTAGTTTTGTGTCATTTTACTTTGAGCACTAGAGAAGGTAGGGCATATGAATACCGACTTGTCTAGGTACCTACCTACATACCTAGCCATTAGTATATTATCCTATTCGTTTGAATGTAAATACAATGTTTGCTCGTCTACTATGGAAATGAGTTTTTGTGATATGAGTAAGGTACAGGTCAGTGCCGGATTAGCCACGTAGCAAGAGTAGCAAATGCTACGGGCCCCGCGAATTGGAGGGCCCCGCGCTCAAATACGTATTTCGTAATTACACCACTTCAACAGCAAGACTTATGAAGAAAATGTTTTGTTTACAAAACTACTACCAACCTACATGTAATTTGATTTTTTTGTTAACAAATTAACGAAAAAAGACAAATAGTTGGTATTTTGTATGTGTAAGAAAAGGAAAGTGAGTATTTGTTCGCTTGGTTGGTGCCATTGGCGGGCAAACCGAGCCCGATTTAAACGAATCAAAAATGAATTTATTAAGGAACACTATAGGCCAAGAACGTGTTAATCATCTCACAATGTTGAATATAGAGCATGACTTGCTTAAGGCTTTGACTGCCGACAGAAAACTGTTGAAGGTAAATCCTCCGCTAGCGTGGGGCCCATACCTTGTCCCCCATGGCGTTCAAGATGTTAAAGAAGTCGATATTGAAAGTGTAATCGCTAAATTTGCCCATAACAAATCCAGATAAGTTTATTTGTAACAGTTTTGTTTTATGTAATAATACCCTAAATTACATAGTGCTATATTATTCCTGTTATTTTGTTGATGGTGACCGTACACAACGCATATTTCTTCATTAACTTGTCAGAAATATTTTGTAATAAATGATTATAAACGATTTCAATAATAATAATAATCTTTATTACGTAAAACTGCCCAAGTAAAAAAAAAAACATTTCGATTGCTTGGCTAGCGTGTTCACTTTATACATATGTATACGGTTTATGGCCTATGACAGATTTTCATGTAAGTTTCAATATCCTCTCAGTCGAAAACCCGCAAAATACTTTACTGAGCCCTATCACGAAATGCTATGTTTGTTAGCTGCAACGTCGGTAGCGGATTGAGTAGTGGCAATCGTCGAAAACGAAAAGATTTTTTTTCTGTCTACTTCTCCCGACCTACTCCCGATTAGTCACTAATTTAACTACAGTTAATACTCTAATCTACAGCTAGGATAAGATTCTGTACAAAGATATCGTCATTCAGTCACAAAGTGATTAATTATATTTCGACTGATCGCGTTACCTATATGAAAAAAAATATACGCTCATCTGACGTATATCACTTTACAAAGTCGACGGTTTCCTTTCTACAAAAAAAATATGCGAACTATAAAGTAGATGAGTCTCCCACCAGGAGTCAATGGCAAAACAAAATATACTTTATTAGATATTCGCACGGTTACCACCACTCAACCCACCACTGTTAACATAGCTGACGCTCATGAAGCTTCATGACACAACTCCTAGAAGCATCCCACAAGTTATCGACTGAGAGAAAATAGGTAATAAAAATTAGTGCCTGGCAATATGAATATATTGTGGTGTGAAATGGTGTTCCTGCGCCCGACTCACTACAGGTGCACGCAATTTAAAGTTTTGAATTGTGACAAAAATATGAATAACTAGCTACTTCCGCTCGGTTTTACACGCTCTGCTCGGCTCCTATTGGTCGTAGCGTAATGTTTTATAGCCTATTGCCATCCTCGATAAATGCACTATCCAACACAAAAAGAATTATTCAAATCAGACTTGTAGTTACGGAGATTAGCGCGTTCAAACAAACAAAAAAACTCTTCCGCTTTATATCAATACATAGTATAAAACAAAGTCCCTTTCGCTGTATGTCCGTATGTATGCTTAGATCTTTAAAACTACGCAACGAATTTTGATGCGGTTTTTTTTAATAGATAGAGTGATTCTTAAGGAAGGTTTGTATGTATAATACATGCATATTGCACCCGTGTGAAGCCGGGGCGGGTCGCTAGTAATAGTATAAGATATAAGATTTGAATAAAAAACCAAAGTAAAATGTTTGACTTCAGCTCCTTTCAACGCTCATAACTCAATCCAGACTGAGATTTCCATACATGAGCCCTATGGGCTCAATTTCATAATAACAATATCGTTTGTAATGTCATTCTAGACAATATTTTCCATAAATCATCGACTGACGCCAGAAAAAAGAAAGGCACCAAATTTAGCCAATGCCCAAATGAGAACCGATAGCAAACCAAGGGCCCCTAGACATAATTTGCTACAGGCCCCGCGCTGGCTTAATCCGGCACTGGTACAGGTAAGGTACCTATTACCTTTTGTTATGAAGTATGTACCTACACGATCATCGTCATCAATAACAGGGCAAACGCCTAGGACAGACAAACAGCTAAGCAAATAATAATTATTTATTCGTCTATTTTTTTTAATAAATTGCAATTAACTGCTCATAATAATAAAGTCTCTTTTACAATGACATCGAAACTCTGTTTACCTTTTCAATAAGGTCAAGTAAGGTAAGGTAAACAGTAATAATAATATCTAAAAAAATATACCTTTTTAAAAACTTGACTCGTGATGTTTATCCTTACCGACCTAAATCCACAATAGAAAATATCATTAGGTACCTACCTACATACGTGTAGAACATCTTTGACAATAGGTTACCTATAGTACAATAGCAGTACCTACCTGGGTACCATCTTTACCATAAGGGCCTACAACGTACGGGAATCGGTCCCGCACGGAGCTAATCTTTGTGTGATCCACAAATTGTTGTTTCGGGTCTGGGTGTCATGTGTACATGGAGTTGTTTGTTTTTTTTATGGAATAGAAGGCAAACGAGCTGACGGATCACCTGATGGTAAGCGATCAGCGCCGCCCATGAACACCCGCAACACCAGACGAACACACCACTTACGAGAGAAAATTCTAGTGGTGCAATTTTAAAAAAAGGAAACATTCTAAAATCACCTCGAATATTGTGGGCCCCAGCGTAGTCTAAGACTGCCTTGGGTAGCAGTTCAATATACCTAACCTACTCTCATTTTATAGGTTTAAGTAGGTAGGTAGGTTCCTAGTTAGTTGTCCCTACCTAAGACACGATAAGTACTACGTAGGCTTCGGTACCATTCTTAGAAACGGGTTCGTGCTGATAACTCTATTGACCGCACGCTTGGCGTAACGGCTGGGCAACTGGTTACTGCGCAATGTGTCAGTTTTGATTCCCGCAATATTATGTTTGTAAATGCATCCTAGTGTGGGTTAGATGAAGTCATTTTAAGCGATGGTCCTGGTATCACACAAACATTACATACATACAGGTAAATAGGTACCTATCTAAATTGTGAAGGCGTTCTTACAGTCAAGAACGTTTCTTTGTCTGGATCTGGACCTATTTGTCTACCTACCTGTTACTTGTTGATATTTTTCTTAGATACTCAGTTGCGTCTACAGTTCAATGTTTATCATGTCTCCAGTCTGTAAATAAGACGAGTAAGTATAAAAATATAAAAAAATCATCTCGGCCATATATGTACCTACTTATGTATACCTACTACCTACCTATTTATCTACATAGTGCTTGGGTTTTCGTAGCCGATATAAACTGATAATAAGTTACAGCTAAGTTTCTCTGGTTTTTCCATGGAACGGGAAATAGGTACCTACATATTAATTTCTACACTAAAGTAATAAATATTGTTGCTGCTGGAAAACGTGATGAAGCGATTGAAGGAACTTGTACCTAAGCGATTACTCTAATTTACCGACTAATCGTAACTCGTGTGATAGCTAATGAAAAATTTAATGTTTAAAAAAAAAAAGTAATTTATTTAGGAGAATATTTTTTTAAATAATTACATACGTCGCGCAGTAGCCAGTTCGGTGCAGTGCTACATGCTGTAGGTGTTCGATAGTGGTTTAATCTAGATGTCTACACTACAGTTCTACATTTGTGTCAATCAGCAGATTCAAAAAAAGTAGTTTTTGTGTAATCAGGAATACCACAATGATATATTCAGAATCAGATAAGATATATATTATGAGTCTTTCAAGTCAAATATTAATGAACCTGCCACACTGTGGGTAAGCTAAAGCTTTGCTTAATAGCAAGGAAGGGTATAGACATGATAGTTAAAAGAGCAAGGTGCTAAACTAAGGCTAAGGTATGTTACACAAGGTACTTTCACTACACTTAGGTAAGAAATAATGGTTGCCTACATCTGGAAACAATTTGATAAGGTGAGACTTACACTTATTACCTGCTTTGTAAGTAAATGAACTACTTACACCTCCACTTTGTATAATTAGTACTCCATTATATATTGCACTCAAACACTAGAATTCGTAATGAAGTCTAACATTTATACTAATGTGGCATCTATCTATCCCTGACAAATCTGAACCATGTTGATTATGTTAGTGGTTAGTACCTACTCAATATAAAGACCCAAAATCACTGTGCATACTAGGTTATGAAACTGCTTTGTCAGTTACACTAAACCTAGGGTGTGCCAAAATTATAAGTTCAGGTTTCCTCACGACGTTTTTCCTTCACCGTTTGTCAGTGGTGTCTAAATAATCTTAGAAAGTACATATAACTCGGAAAAAGTCACATTGGTACTTGCCGTTGGTAGGTTTCGACCCCGCACCCTCATGCATGAGGGTGCGGGGAAAAACATCGTGAGGAAACCTGAACTTATAATTTCTAATTATAAGTTTGAAATCGCCAACCCGCATTGAGCAAGCGAGGTGATTAATGCTCTAACCTTCTCCGTGTGAGAAGAGGCTTTGCTCAGCAGTGGGCATTTATAGGCTGTTGATGTACCCCAGCAAAATCTCGAATATCTTCGCAACCGATGAAAAAACAGGAAAGGTTTTTGTGAAATAATTAAAAAACTATAAGCGCAACAAATTTAAAAATGTGCGCAACAATTACAGAAGCCGCACAACTAATCAATCAATACATACATAGTATAAAACAAAGTCGCTTTCGCTGTATGTCCGTATGTATGCTTAGATCTTTAAAACTACGCAACGGATTTTGATGCGGTTTTTTTTAATAGATAGAGTGATTCTTAACTCGTCGAGTACCGGTTTTGTAGACACAATTATAGAACAATAGGTTGCGGTCACCGGTGACCGCTTGGTGTTTGACAGTTTAAGGAAGGTTTGTATGTATAATACATGCATATTGCACCCGTGCGAAGCCGGGGCGGGTCGCTAGTTATCTATAAGATTCAAATGACCATTTTCTGACAACATCTGGCCTGGGTAATGCACACAAAACTAGACTAGCCATTGATTCACTAAAGAAAAATATGTTCAGATTGACAAACTCAGGTAAATAAAATTTGGTTTTGACTTTTCCATTTACATTACAGAAATTCTGTCTCGATGGCAGAGTGGTCGCAATTAGTGCGATTGCCGGGTAAGGGGTCTCCAGTTCTATTTCCGGGTCAGGCAAAGTATTATTGGGCTTTTTCAACCCCTATTACATGGGACTCTTAACATAAAATAGTGAAAAGGGGGTGTCACATTGTAGTGGCATTAAGTGTCGTACTGTGCACCTCTGCCTTACCCTTTGGGGATAAAAGGCGTGAACTCGTGTAAATTGCAGAAACTCGATAAACTTATGGCAAAAATGGACATTATCATAATTTTTTGTTTTGAGCTTGATTATTATGGCTGTGAATCTATTATTATCCTACCAGTTTTGGATCAATCATAGAGTTTTGAATAAAACAATTGAATTTGGATGTTTTTGTTTATTTCCTTAAGCTAATGTCAGATGTTTACTTGACCTCACGCAATCTTCTGACTGCGGACCTGCAGGAGGAGGCAGCAGTGGTGGAGAATACCCACGCACCACCAGCTACGGTCCTCTTACAGCGTTTGCATGACCAGATGCCGACACAGGAACGCTTCATGGCATCCTGAAATTAAGGTACAGTGAACAATTAGATATTTAAGTAATAATTGTTGTAACTGCTGCTATAAAGTAACAACAATAATATTTGCCGTTTAATACAAATGTATTAAACGGCGTGGAATAGAAGGATATTTACATACATATTAAGGATGTTAATACACTAAGATATTTTGATTATAATTACTTATTTAAACTTAATGTGCATATAAGATTTAACTGTTAAACACCAAGCGGTCACCGGTGACCGCAACCTATTGTTCTTTAATTGTGTCTATAGTGACGGTACTCAACGAGTTAATAAGTTAATGTCAAGAAATTAAGAATTTATTCAATAAGAGTGGGTAACTGGTTAGTTTTAACTTGTCTCTGTTTACACACAATACCTTTTGATGTTGATAAATTATGAGTTTGTAAAAATGAAATTACACATATTTGCAAAATTATTTTGATATCTGCTAGATAAAACTCATACCAAACTCATAAGCATTTGTTTCAATTAAACAAAATTTAGTACTATTAAAACGTCAACTAACATTAAATAAAGATATGTCAGTCAGTCAGTGAAGCTAGGTGCGCATCACAAAAAGTAATTCATCATAAAATTGCACAATTAATGCAATACAAATGAAAAAGTTACAATAATATATTTAAATTATTACGGATTTCTGGTGGAATAATATTAACTATTTGAGTATCGTCATTATAGACACAATTAAAGGACAATAGGTTGCGGTCACCAGTGACCGCTCGGTGTTTGACAGTTTAATACCTTTCAATTATATATACATAAGTTTATGCTCAATACTTTCGGGTCATGGGATGCAATGTTTTGTTTAATGCATTTTTAAACAATTCAATGCAGACTTATTATACAAGTGTTATAAGATTTACTGGTTCTTTATTGATGAGGATAACAGTTATAATAATAAACTGAAGTTGTGTTGTGAATTCAACGGTACATTAACAAAACATAACCCCCAAATACCTTATTATCATCTTTATAAATATTTTTGGCATCAGTAGAAGCCGGGGAAGTTCACAAAATCAGTTGAATAAGTCAATTTAAACTGTAAGGCATGAATAACAAAGAAACAAATTCGTGATACTAACCTTACCGCAGAACGAGCAAGTGTATTTTGCGTGCTGGGTGACTTCCATTTTTTTGACCATTTTACGGAGGGAGGCACCGTAACGTGTGCCATATTTGCCAGTAATTCCAACCTTCTTCGTGCGTTTGGCCTGAAAACATTACAATAATTCATGTACATTGGTTGACCACTGGCACTGCCATCACCATTGTATTGGCTAAGATAATTCGGTGATAAGGTGTCGGTGAGTAAAAATATCCATGTAACACAGTAGAACTTTACACTGGCATCTCTTTTACATGATAGATCACTGGATTTTTCAACGGATTATAATAATTTTCACAAATTAAATCTCACCATTTTCAATAACCTGTCTAACTCTCCGGTTGACAGAAAAGAAGAAACAATTTGACAGCTTACTGGGTGTTGCCAATGCAGCTAATAAACAATATCAGTATTACCAGCTACTACAGCATTGATTGTTTTTTTGGGATACTTAAGTTAAAGTTACCTAAGATACTTCCCCATATTTATTTTATTTATTTTCAGCCATGATCGTGCCACTGCAGGCTAAAACCCTCTTTCCACTCCTATTTACGTAAAGCTATGTGCGGCCAATTCTTATCATAAATGTCCAGTTCGTCCCGCCATCTCCTTTTTAGCCTGCCGCGACCATTTGGTATTACCCCTGTCCATGTGGTAGCCCTAAAATTCTAGAACATTTTTCTAAGCCTGCCTTGTCGGCCGAGTGGTCGCAAGTGCGACTGCCGGGCAAGGAGTCTTGGGTTCGATTCCCAGGTCGGGCAAAGTATTACTGGGTATTCAAAAAACTGTCAGTTGTATCACGGAGTCTGGAATTGTGCCCGGTATATGGCAATAGGCTCAAGCCCTATTATATGGGACTCGTTACATAAGTAGTGAAAAGTGGGTGTTATATTGTGCAGTGGTATTAAATGCCGTAGATAATGTGCACCTCTGCAAGGCGTGATATTATGTTATGTTGTGTTTTCTAAGCATCTATTTAACTCTGCTTGAGATCACATTTGTGCATATTATATTAATTATTTTTATAATAATAATATTTTTAATAGCATTTCATATGGAACGCGGTCAAATTTGGATTGGTTACAAACAAACTGTCAAGACTTTTAATTTCCAGAGAAAATCAACGTAAGTTTTTTAGCATTCTCAACGACCTACACAACTTGTAGGTCGATGATACCAGCTTAAAGAAAATCTGGCCAATTTTAGGGAAGTTATATTACAATGTGACAAGCATTAGTACAGCTTGGCAAAAAAGAGTAAGACGTGGTGCTGGTGACAACTGGAACTAATGTTGACTTGGACTGAAGCACCCACTTTGGTCCATATCCCATGAAAAACAATCATCTGAACATATTATCTCCTCTTTTTAAATTTGATAAAAATAACTAATATCAAAACTCAAAACCGATTGAATCGTAATATATCAGGTTGCCACAGGTACGATACGATAAAGAGTTTGGAATAATTGAGGTCCCTGACCTCATTTAGCTAAGGAAGTGTACCCGCTGTTAGGGTAGGTTGCATGCATATATGGGTAGGTACTTGGTTTATTGGTATCAATGGAACGTATGTACACAACATTCTTCTATATTATATTCTATAAATATATATTTTATACATATATATCCTTGAATAATACATTATGTTAATGTAAGATCCAACAGTCAAACTATGTGTATAGTTTTGTTGGATATGGCGTTAAATTTTAAGGCATACATTGTACCTTTTACTATTAAATAAATAAATAATAATAATTCCAAACTCTTTTTTGCCAAGCTGCACTTACATTTCGACTATTTTAGGAAAATAATATAATTTTCTTATATTTCATCTCAAATAAAAAAAACATCGTTTGTAATATTTTCATTAATAAGAAAGCGATTTTTTAAGAATTTTAATTGAATTTACATTTTTGATTAATGATGAAGATTGAGACTTCTGTCTCTCACATACACTCAATACCTTGGTCATAGGTTTGACTCAAGCAATTTACTTCTTATTAAAATATAAGTAGATTTATGATTAAATCAATAAAAGTATTAGTGTTTTGTTTATTGTCTAAAAAGGACCAATTTAGTGATTTCATGTTATAAAGTATTCCTAAGGATATCGAAGAACAAACTTATGCTTGATCTCCAAGTGGTAATTTATAAATTGTGAGGTTATCCATTTAAAGGGAAAACGTGACCCGACCCCTGGCAACCCGCATCACAGCCGGTACAACTTGGAAAAAGGTCGATCTTACAGATATTTTACCGTCCCGATCACCTGGACGGAGTTGTTTTAGCAAAAAACAAATCAAAATGTTGCGATCGATTTTTGTACGAAACCAAGTTTTAAACGATGCCTTGAAAAAATCTATACGGTCAAACCTCTCAAGGTGTATGAGCACAGAACTGTCGAAGAGGAAACTTTCTCACAGGTAAGTTGATTGGTTTTTAGTTTAATTTCCGTCTTAACAATAGATCTTGGCTTTTGCATTCATAAATATTTATTCGAGCATTAAGTTATGTTGTTTGTGATCATTAGAATAAGTTCTGCTCGTTGCATAACCAAAACGTCAATGGTTTTCACCTTGTAGATTGATATTTAATTAAATGAGAATTCGCCGGCTGGTTGTCGTACACGTGCCCTACTATACAGGAATAGCTGATTGGCATGTGCGCAGTTTATGTTATGTTTGGGATGAGTTTAGCAGGTTAAACGAATTAGGGCTCAATATGCTGTGGTGACATTGAACTTCAAAACTTTAGTATGTGACAATCAATAGATAATAGGGCCCTGTCTATGTTCTTTCCTCGTGTAAAGGATAATTTAATTAAAGGATAATAAGGACATGGAAAATTTTTGCCAATGTAAACATTGTGAAATAATCAAATAAGAATATCCAGTACATGGTAGATTTAGGTTTTAATCAAGCATTTAACTTAAAAATAACTTAAATATGTGTGTAAACTACCTAATCTATATCAAAATAATTAGGAGGAAGGATTTTATTGTCCCTTTCATAAAATGTTAATAATGAAATGATTTTGTAATCTAGTGCGATATATGTGGTAAAATCTTAGTACAACACCAATTATTATGTCAATAATATGTGTAGAAAACGGTATAAGTACCTAATACCCATCTTTTTATAAATAAAATATTTCATTAATAGTTTTCTTTATCTTGACGCAGATAAGATTGTCTGGCCATTTTTGTATTATGTCTGCACTGCTGTTTCTCTGATAAATAAGAATCTAATTAGATTTCATAATAAAAGCACAAATGGAAAAGATCATAACTTATTAGTAATGCAATCAACACTAGGATTTACGTTTTACTTTCTAAGGTTTAGAAAATTGTATATTTCTATGATTGAATACTACTATGACTGTGCTTCTCATGCATGAAGGTGTGGGTATGAAATGAAACCTACCAACAGCAAAGTACCCATGTGACTTTTTACAGCATTATTACTAACAACAGCATTATACACTTTGGTATCATATCAGGTCATTTAAATACCTAAAAGTTTGGACTTATTATAAAGAGATGTTTTGCACTGACTTGATTTTATTCCATTCACCCTTTTAACATTAAATAATAAATGAATGTCATTAACTGGACAAATTATATAATCATTATCACCTTCTTACTATTACTACTGCTTGAAACAGCTGATAATATAATTCAACTTATGTATAAGTACGAAATCAAACAAAATTATCAGTCCATTAATTTAATATCACCTTTAGGAAGCTACATTAGGTGTATTTGGTCATAAAATAGGGTGAGATAACATTATATAACATCTCGGCTTATCTAAAACTTTACCACAGATATCATTGAGATGTCTGTACTGTGCGTGTACTGATAAGCTTACATTTGTAATAATAAACTAACTCTGTCGGTCACTTTGGTGATTAAAATCACACATAAAATGTGTGTACTGTTATTACTAGGCTAGTTAAAGTAAAATTAGAACTAATTATAGGAACAATGTAGACTTGTACATAACTATGAAGAAAATGTGACTAACAGTGAGTATAATTACAAGTTGGTTTTATGAAAAATATTGAGATGTCAAATATAAATTAATCTAATTTAGTTTAGATCTACTTTTATAAGTTTTAATTCAACAATAATGTCTATAAAGTGAAGCTATAGAATCAGTCTCATATTGAAAGTTATAATAATTATGTTTATAGCCAACTCACTTATAATTAATTGTATTGTTTTAGAGTCTTAAGTGCTCAGAATAAGAGAGTATCGGCCGCACCACAATGGACCATCCAGATAAGGTATTATGCCGACCTGCCATCTCACTCAAAGGTGAACTTACCAGCTCTGTCACCAACTATGGAAAGTGGGTCTATTATCAACTGGCAGAAGAAAGAGGGGGAAAAGTTAAGTGAAGGTGTGTGTATTCTTCCATTTGTTTTTATTTTTTAAGACAACAAGTTAGATATTGAAATCTGGACAGTTGTTGATATCTGTTAATACTATAGGTTTTCATTTTCATTTTGAAAGTGTCTTCAGAAGTCTTTATTTACAATAATAGCTTTAATTTCTAGTCTACCATAGTGCAGTCCGCACAATAAGATAAGTGAATGTAATATAAGATAAGTGTGGGAGAGCCATGCTTCGCCACAAGTGCTTAGACTCGACCGGAGTGATACCACGACCTCACAGAAAACTGACGTGAAGCAATGCTTGCGTTGTGTTTCGTCGTGTGAGTGTGGTTACCGGAGGCCTAATTAACCCCCTCCCCCTCCCCTTCCCGAATCCCTAACGATTCTCAAAATCCTAATCCCCAAAAGGCCGGTAACGCACTTGTAACACCTCTGGTGTTCCAGGTGTCCATGGGCGACGCAGTTTGCTTACCAACAGATGATCCATTAACTAATTTCTTTAATTAATTTCAGGTGATCTGCTCTGTGAGATTGAAACAGATAAGGCGACAATGGGTTTTGAAACACCTGAGGAAGGATACCTGGCTAAGATCTTGATCCCAGCTGGAACTAAGGGTGTACCTGTTGGCAAGCTCCTGTGTATCATAGTAGGAAGCGAATCCGACGTAGCTGCATTCAAAGATTTCAAGGATGACTGTGAGTATAATATATTACAAAGTTCAGTGGTACAATTAATACTGTTTGGTGTTTCATTATTTGAAGTATAGGTACTAACAATTCATTGTTATTTGTAAAGTGATGTTTTAAAACAGAGTATGAAATTCAGTTTGGGATGCATTAACAGAGGTGTGCTTAATAGCAAACATAAATTTCTATCTGACTTAGATGATTACAAAAATGTCATTAGATTTTATAAAAAAAATGCCTTTAAATTACTTTACAGCCTTCATCTATTGTGTGGTTAGGAAACAGAATAGTTATTTAGTTTTTTAAGGTAATAAAGTCAGTAACAGAGTAGCAAATTG